TTCCTAGTGTCCAGTTCAGACAAAGCATTATTGTTGCTGGTTGAACAGCTGGCTTATCTGAATGCTTATGGATACTCTTGCAGAAAGATCATCTTATTCCTGTGAATTAAAAGTGGGTTTACTCCTGGTTTAGGACATAGGAAGAAAGGATAGTTCTGTACTGTAGAACTGTACCACTCCATAGCCAGTGAAGGTCCTGGTCTTCCCTGAAGAGGTGGCTACAGCATATGCAACATCTCCAGCTTTCTGCTTTGGATCTAGCCAGTGTTAAGGCAAAACAAAAACCACTGTTAAGGGCCAGCAGAGCAGCTTGTGGATATCTAGCCCTTTGTTTTGTTCCATTTCCCAGGGCAGTCAGAACATTACGTTGCATGTAACGGGACCTTTTGTCAATTCTGAATATATCCTTTTGCTTCCATGTGCAGCATTCTAGTTCTAGCTTGAGAAAAAAGGGGGTGGAATTCATGCTGCCCACCGAGTGCCACGCACACCCTTTGCCACAGTTGGTCTGAATTAACATCTGGCTCTGCACAGTTGGGTCACTGATGAACAGATGATGAGCAAACAGCTGGCTGAAAACAACAGCCATGAAGATACCTTTCTAACCTCATGATTTTAAGGATGCAGGTTTATTTGAAATGAACCATTAGCTTTTGCATAGGAACTGAAGTATTTACTGACCAGGGAGAACACTTTGTGACAGGATTTATTGATAGTGGAGAGTTTTAAGGAAAATCTAAATGCTAACATCCAGTTTTTAGGATAAGCTTTGTGTATCACTGTGGTAGGTAGATCAGTAATATTCACACTGTCAGTTGGTCAGCACAGAATGAATAGAATACTATTGTATTGCAGTACATACAGCTTTACAGTAGGTCACGAAGACTGGAAAACACTAGGAAAACATCTGAGTCATCAGCTATCTTTATTTCTGCTCTTTCACAGCAACTTGACTTTTTCAAAGGTCTTCTATAGACTATGCCTTCCTCTTTTAGCCTCCTGTTACAGATGCTGTAAGCTGGCTTGCAGGGAAACGGAACAGCCCAAATGTTCACTGTTAACCCTGGTGTAGGTTAAGCTCCTGCCTGAAGGAGCAGGTTTCTCGAGCACTGTGGACGACTCTCACTTTGTGTCTCTCTTCCTTTCCCCTTCCAGCAACCGACATACGTTCAGGCCCTGTTTGATTTCGATCCCCAAGAGGAAGGAGAGCTGGGCTTCCGACGTGGAGACTTTATCCAAGTCCTTGACAATTCTGACCCCAACTGGTGGAAGGGAGCCTGCCACGGACAGACGGGCATGTTTCCGCGCAACTACGTGAACCCAGTGAACCGGAACATCTAGAGATAAATATTAGAGATTATTTAAAGAAACAAGAGAAGCAGTAAATACACATACAGAGCCTAACTGCAGCCAGTGACCTAAAATCACGCGGCGATAAAACCCGAGTCACCTTTCAGCGGGAGGTGACCCTCCTTCACTCAGTACGGAACTTCAGGGGCTGGGGGGGGAAGAGTTCAACTTACACACCAAAAGTTATCCTTAAAAAAGAGAGAGAAAACAATGAAAATAACAAATTTCCTCAGCTGCTCCTGGGTTACCCCCTTCCACCCACTCTTCTTGTTTCCCCTCCCTCCCTCTGTCCATCAGTGCATGAAGTTTTAATGCCATATAAAGTCCTAGCCATGCAGTAAAAGGAAAAGGGAGAAACTCTGCTGGTATTTTCTCTCTCTGCAAACGGTCTTCATTTGACATGAAGGGACATGAGAGAAGAACCAAATCCACAGTCCTGCCTTTAAAACAAAGCAAAAATCATCAGTCTCTGCTTTTGCCTTCAACATTCAGCTCTTCTTGCCTGGGAAAGATGAGGTGTTAATCTTAAGTTTTATTGTCTCTTCTCCTTTGGCACTTTCTTCTGAAGCTCAGCAGCTTCCAAGCAGGGGAAGGGAGAAGAGTTGTGTGGCTTTTTGTTCTTTTCTTTGGAGTCACAGAGCTGCTTTGAGAAACTCCAACATACAACTGAGGGTCTGTTCATGCTGTGCTGACAGCGCTTTTGTTGTGTTCTTTCCTTAAAGGTGTACGGTTGAGCACATTCTGTACTTTTTTCCATAGTGCCTTTCCCTTCTTTTCTTTTTTTATTCTTTTTAAGTTAAAAGGACAGTCCAGAACTACTTTTTTTTTTTCCCTGCCTATGTGTAAATAAATACTTTTGGGGGAGGGGTGTGAAGGAGGGTGGTTTTATCAATGCACACTTGAGAGGAATCTACAAGCAAGAGATGGAGCTTTAATCTTAAGATTTGTCTTAACTGTTGAACTTCCCTTCTTCCAAGGAAAGTAAATCAAGGCATTCAAGTGGCAACTTGTGCTGCTCAGAGGTGGGGAGCTGCAACCAGGAGCCTCAAAAGAAGTAAGAGAAAGGGGGGGAAGTTATGACCAGGGAAGATGAGGAAGAATATTTTGGGGAGGGGAGGGTTAAGGGGCGGGGGGAATTTGAGGAATAATAGCCCTGAGATGTCCTACAAAATGTACATTCCTTTGATGGAAAACTTTATAATGCAGAGAAATCTCAAGAAATAGTGCTTGAAAAGAAAACTTTATGCTCTTAGTGAATGTCTCTACGTGATGCATGTAATCAGCCTGTCTCTTTGGCCTGGATAGGGAATATTTGCAGTCGTGTTGCTCTTGAAATGTGGGGTTGGCATCACTGTTCTCCAGTTTCTCCTCCCTCCTCAGGTCAGTGTTACTGTTGAAGTAGCTCCCCTCCCACCCCTCTCCCCATTCACAGCAGGCTGTGTGATGACTGTAACCCGCACCAGAATGGTGTTTTCTGGGGCCATTTGCTCCTCCACCAGAGCAGTGTGACATTAAACTGGAGAGAAAGGAAAGCAACAGAGCCCCACTGCTCTCTGTGCCAATCTTCAGTTGCATTACTTTTCCTTTGGATGGCCTTTTTGGCTCCCTTCACCCCACCAACGAATCCAAACCCTGCAGCAGAGATCTCCTCCTGCCCTGCCTGAGCATGGGCAATCTTGAGTTGGAGGGTGCCTTTTTTTGTACTAAGTGTTACAGACGTTTTCTTCCTGACATGGACTCTGCCTTACACTTCATTTTCCAGCAGATGAAAGAGAGAGCTATCCTGTAGAGTTATTACTTTCTCCCCCTCTCCTTGCTAGCTGTCACTCACTTTCTTCCTTCTTTGTAAAGTGATTGGAAAAGGAATCTATGGCATTCTACACCTGGACCATTTGATTGTTTCCTTATTTTGGAATTGGTGTATATCATGCAGCCTTGCAGACATATGTCTTGTGTGTGTATATATATTAAAAGAAAAAAAAAATCAGTGTTTAAATGAAAAAAAAAAAGGCCTATGTACTTAATCCTTTAACTCTGCAGCAGCATTTGGTAGATAGTAATTAACTGTGAATAATAAATATACATTGAATTCTTCACTTGAGCATCTGTCTTATTTCAGTTCACTGACCAAAATAACAATTGATGGAGCTAATGTATATGTTATATCCTATAGGATACTGAATTGCTGTGGGAAGAGGCTGTAAGGTGTGTTCTGGCCTGAAGTACACAGCCTCTGGAGCATTGTAGTTTGGTCTCGGCATGCGTGGCTGAATTCATTCCTCTTTCAAGCTGTGTCAGCGCAGAGCTATGTCACTTGGCATGTGGCATTACGAACAGTGAGGAGGGGGGAAAGGTGAGGCACTGGCACAGGGTGCCCAGAGACGCTGTGGCTGCCCCATCCCTGGCAGTGTTCAAGGCCAGGTTGGACACAGGGGCTTGGAGCAGTCTGGTCTAGTGGAAGGTGTCCCTGCCCGTGGCAGGGGGTTGGAACTGGGTGAGCTTTGAGGTCCCTTCAACCCAAACCAGTCTGTGATGATTTGAACGATGATGTTGGTGCAAGGACCAAAGACCGTGCATCAGCTGAGTGGGTGGGCAGCACTGCAGTATTTCCCCGCTTGCTTTTCTCTACTCTTTTTACCCAACAGCTGGAGTGCTTTGCGGTACAGACTGCACTGTTGTAAGGAGACACACCAGCTGTCTCTGGAGACCTTGCTGAGGGGATGATGGGCACACAACATTGCCATCGCTCACACCACTCATGAGCTTTTGCCCTGCTCCATCAGCGCCTTGCAGGTCCTTTTCCCTTTGTTGCTGAAGGAGAACTGCCCGGGTGTGTGACCACGGTGCGCGGCAGCGCTGCGCGGTCAGCCTCTGCTCATGGGCTGAGTGCTGGTCCATTTTGCAGTCTAATACACACTAGGAAAAGGCCTATTTGGGGGTTTGCCTTGGTTTTGAACAGTTGCTTTTAGTTATTATGCTCAAATCCAAGTATAGTCAAGGAGTTTGTGGTGGAAATGCCTGGATTTTGTTATCCCAAGTTTATTTTTCAGTCAAGTCAATACAGAAATGATGTGGTTTGGAGCTCTGGGTTTTCTTCTAAGGCTGCAGCAGGACAGGGTGGATCAGAACCGTGCTGTTTATAGCTTGGTACCTACTGAAAAGTGTGGAAACCCTTTCTTCCCTTCCACTTTAACGAGGGAAGGAAAACACTTGCTCCTATACGTGACTGTGTACCAAGGCTATAACCGCGCAGGAAGAACCATCAGGAACAAGGCCTGCCTTGTCTCCATGATGTCCTCCCTTCCCACCAGGCGCCGTGCTGCAGGAACCGCCTAAATCCCGGTTCATCCCAATGCCATCCGCCCGTCCTTGGGAGCGCGGGGCCGTGCCCCGAACCCCCGCCCGCCATTTTACAACCGCTGGACTACACGTCCCAGCACCCCCCGCGGCGCGCAGGCGCAGTGCGGCGCCGGGCGGCTGAGGCGGGCCTTGGGCTGAGGGCGGGCTGCGGCCGGGGGCCCTGCCCGGGGTTGGGGTTCGGCTCCGTGCTCCCCTCCGGTGCGTGCCGCGGGGCTCAGCGTGTGCCGAAGGGGGGGCTGTGTGAGGGGGTGAGGCTGTGGGACGGAGCCTGTCCGGGGCGGGCTCACCAAAGCCCCTGTTCTCCCGGGCAGGCTGCGGGGGCTCCAGGCAGGCATGGTCGGCTATGACCCCGGCTCCAGCTGCGTCTCCACGGCGGAAGCGGCTGCAGCAGGGTCAGCGTCTGGCTTCGTCACCCGGCTCCTTATCAGTCCCTTGGATGTCATCAAGATCCGGTTCCAGGTAGGGTCCTCACGGCGTGCTCGGGGTGAAGGAGCCCCTTACAGGGCATGGCCTGGGCGAATAGGTCACTTGGGCACCCAGAGAGTGCTAACGCTGCTCCTCGGCCCTCACCTCATGGTGTACAGGTTATGCAAGGTAGCAGGGCTATCCCGTGTCCACTACTTCTATTTATATAACTGAACTGGAGTGTTTGAATGGGACCTTGTGGCTTTTATAGTTTGTTTTCTTTCTCTGTCTTTATGAGTGAATCATCTTCTCTGTCTAACTGGATTTCACCATCCTCCCTACTGATTATCTTGTGTTGCATGTGTGGCTTTATTCTTTTAGAGCCCTACATAAACCACATCCCAGTCACTTCTAGGTGTGAGTCCATGGGAGGGCATTGCTTGGCTCTCGGGGCTGTGAATTCCCAAAGGCAACGCTGGAACTTGTTGAGACCTGGTGTGGAATTAGAGCAAACCTTCTCTGTGTTCTCCTCCAGCTTCAGATCGAGCAGCTCTCCTCCAAAAACCCAGGTGCGAAGTACCACAGCATCCTGCAGGCTGCACGCCGCATCTTCCGGGAAGAGGGCTTGGTCGCCTTCTGGAAGGGCCATGTTCCTGCTCAGCTGCTTTCCGTTGGCTACGGAGCTGTTCAGGTGAGGTGACCAGCCATCCCCTGGGCCCAGTGCACATACATAGGACTTGACTTTGCTCCTCTTCAGGCTGGATGCATGCACGTGATGCAGGCAGCTCCAGAGTTGCACTGTACTGATGTAAAGATGTGCAGCTGTATCTTGCTGATGGATAATTCGCAGCCCAGAAAGCCAGCCATATCCTGGGCTGCATCAAAAGGAGCATGACCAGCAGGTCGAAGGAGGTGATCCTGCCCCTTTACGCTGCTCTTGTGAGGCCTCACTGTGAGTATTGTGTGCAGTTCTGGTGTCCTCAACATAAAAAGGACATGGAACTGTTGGAACAAGTCCAGAGGAGGCCACAAGGATGATCAGGGACTGGAGCACCTCCCATATGAAGACAGGTTGAGAAAGTTGGGGCTTTTCAGCCTGGAGAAGAGAAGGCTGCGTGGAGACCTCAGAGCAGCCTTCCAGTATCTGAAGGGGGGCTATAGGGATGCTGGGGAGGGACTCTTCATTAGGGACTGTAGTGATAGGACAAGGGGTAACGGGTTAAAACTTAAACAGGGGAAGTTTAGATTGGATATTAGGAGGAAATTCTTTTCTGTGAGGGTGGTGAGGCACTGGAATGGGCTGCCCAGGGAGGTTGTGAATGCTCCATCCCTGGCAGTGTTCAAGACCAGGTTGGACGAAGCCTTGGGTGAGATGGCTTAGTGTGAGGTGTCCCTGCCCACGGTAGGGGGTTTGGAACTGGATGGTATTAAGCTCCTTTCCAACCCTAACTATTCTATGATTCTAATTCCTGAGCTTGTTGAAGCTGGAGCACAGAGCAGACCGAGTTCTGTCTGTATCTGCTGTCACAGATAACCCCATTTGTTCCTGACACTTGGGTTACCCATTCATGTTCCAAACCTGTGTAGTGGTTTTGCTTTTGTTCATGTCTCCCTAACAGCTTGTAAGGAAGAAATTAGGCTGCTGATGATGTTTTAAACCGCATTGTTATGCTTCATTTGTAACTACTAACAACATGTTTTGTGAGTAGTGGTTGAAAGAGGAATGCACGGTGTGTCTGTAATATAACAAACACTTTAGGATACACAGAGCACTGAAATGAGCTTTTCGCAGTACGAACTGCAAGACTTAGCACAAATGTCAGAGCACAGACTGTGCTGAGCATTCCCTGGGCTGCTGAGTGGTTTTTACACCTGATTCTTTGAGCACACACATGCTCAGCGTGCAAGTTGGGAAGGACTTTTGAAGGACACAGGGAGAAGGTGGTTACAGGCGGTGGGTGGAGCTATCCGGGTGAAATGAGAGAGGAGTGGGAGATCCATGTCACCGATAAGCATTGACTCCTTGACCTGTGTGTGCTTGTTCCTGCCAGTTCATGGTGTTCGAGAACATGACGCAGCTGGCACACAACGTCACCTCCTACGGCGCCCGCGACTCCTTGGTGCACTTCACCTGCGGTGGGCTGTCTGCCTGCACAGCCACTGTGGCAGTGCAGCCTCTTGACACGCTACGCACCCGCTTAGCTGCTCAGGGTGAGCCCAAGGTATGGCTTAGGGATCTGTGTGTGTTTGGGATTATCTTCCATAGCAGTAGCAATATTCCATGTGTGGGAAAATGGGAGGTTTGAAAAGTACATAACGGCCCCAGGGGTTAGCATAAAGAAGCCGGTGCTGTTATTGGGCAGTGTCTGTACTGTTGCCAAGTTATCCTCTGTGCTGTTGACAAAGGTTTCTTAATTATGTTTTGCTGCTCCTGATTTGTGTTTGACTCCTCACAGATGATCCAGAAAGGAGAAACTGTCCTTGCCAGGATAAGTCCATTTTCATCTGCCCTGTTGGCCATTTATAAATACACTCCTCTGTCTGTTGAACATTGTGGTTTTAAACTTTCTACTTGCACAGAGTCATGTTTAGATAATGATGGGGATGAGACCTGAAACCAGTCACCTTTCACTTGTATTTCGTGTTCTTGTTTATGCAAGAATTGGTCTCCATGCTAATTAGATCTGTAATAACTAGATTTATATGTGTTTGTATCAGCGCCATTAGCCTGCAGGAGACTCACAATACATATTACGTGAATTCTGTTGCAGGAGCAAGCAGAGCTGTTAAGAGAAAAATAATCTTGTCTTTGAGGCAAGTGGTCTCTGGCCTCAGCTCTGTGCCTTGTTTCTTCCCCTCAGCACAACTTGCATGTGGGATACAGTGTCAGCCCAGTGTAAAGCTAAGGATCATTAAGTTAGTCTCTGGTAGCCCAGAGGCAGGTTTAGGTTGTCAGCTTATGAGAGTCATAGGGCTGAGCTGAAAATACTGTGTGATGTGCAAAATCACTTTGTTCATTGCTTTGTGCTGAAAGTCAGATGTATTTTGGGCACTGGGAAATAACCTGCCCCTTGGTTTGTTGTTTTAAGCCTTTTCCATCAGAGAATCAGCCTCTTCTTTCTTGCCTAGATCTACCAAAACCTTCGCCATGCGGTGGTCACGATGTACCAGACAGAGGGACCTCGGACATTCTATAGAGGTTTGACCCCCACAATCATTGCTGTCTTCCCAAATGCTGGTCTCCAGTTCTCCTTCTACAACATCCTGCAACAGGTTTCTGAATGGGTGATTCCAGCTGAAGGAAAGAAAGGAGGTAGGCACCTGGGACAGTGATGTCTGATGGGGGGGGAGAGAAAGGATGAATGCTACTTTGGGAGACTGACATAAGCTCGGTTTTCTGTCCTGTTAACCTTTTCAATGTAAAATTGCCTCAATTGCTCATCTCTCATTCTTACCCCTGCACAGATAGTGCAAAAGTAAGTACAGTGAAGTTTACAGACAGTTTACAGTGAAGTTTACAGACAGCTCCTGTTATGGAATAACCATGATGGAAATGTGGATGGATGGGAAAGTGATGTGTCACAGACTCGAATACTCCTTCTTGAGCTGTGTCACGTTACTGATCCCGTGGGAAGACAGTAACGTGTCTGTTCCATTAGTTTCCATTCAATTCCTCTGTTCCTTTAGTGCTATGGGGGTGGGACTCTTGGATTTCCTCAGGAAATCTGCCTGAGTTTCCACCCCAGCTGTTCCAGAAGAGGATTCGTTCAGCCTCATTTAAAACTGCCAAACTCTTGACCTGATATTTTTATGATGCTTCCTAGCTCCCTTATAAGAGAACCTCATCCTGATGCAGCCTTTCACCTTGACAATTGTAGGTACTGGTGCCTCCTTGGGGAAGAGTGTATGCAGGATCAGCGTGTTCTTATTCCTGGATGGAATTTCTTCAGTAGAGGATCTAGACTTACCAAGATCATGTCTGCATGTTTAGTTTTAGATGGCAGAGGCTGGTGGTGGTTGTGTGCTGGGAACTCAGGTTTGTCAGGCAGAAGTCTAATGCCCCAAAACTCACTTCTCACAAGCCTCTGAACTCATCAGGCAATGCCAGCTTGTGACTTAATCCAGTCCAGAATAAGTCAGAGCAGTCAGGACTGCAAGATTTCCAGTGACTGGGCTTTTACTGGGGCAGGAAAGCTCCACCACTAGTGGCAGGTTCTCTGGTGACTGGGGTTTTTTGTGTTAAGCCACTTGGCAGAGCAGAGCAAGATGAGTGCAATGAACCAAGATGAGCTGTTACACTCTGGCCCCAGAAGACATTGCAGGCCAGATGTAGAGATGTAGATTGAGGTTCTGTGGCCCACAAAAAGGGCCTTTTTGACCTTCTTGTGCAAAGTGATCTTTAACTGAAGTCTCGTGATCTTTAATGCAAACTCCCTGCTAATCTTCTTTTCCCCTCCTGTCTCCCCTTTCTGCTTCTCAGGCAACGTTAAAAACCTTGTTTGTGGCAGCTGTGCTGGAATCATCAGCAAAACCCTCACTTACCCCTTCGACTTGTTCAAGAAGCGACTGCAAGTGCGTGGCTTTGAGCAGGCCCGGGCAGCCTTTGGGCAGGTGAAAAATGTAGGAATTCCCTGATTTTTAAGAGTATGGATTTGTGAGATCATCCAGGTCCAGCCCACCAGTGATGATTCACCAGTGGTACCTCTTGTGTTCGCATTTGGGTTAGGAGTTCCTCGTGAACTTGCTCTTGCCCATCTCTGTCTGTTGGTTGTCTTGAAGCTGGGGATGATTGAAGCAGGGAAACGGGGTTGGTATACTTAGTTTCTAGTTGCAGCTTGGTAGTTCTGATTCAGGACTGCATTCCTAGCAGAGGATGACACTGGCTTTATGCTGGGATCACCTGGCTGTCAGGATCCTCTTCTGCAGTTAATATTTTGACACAAGGAATAGGCACCAAGTGTTCAGCATATGTCTTATGTACCAGAACATCCTGAAATTCAAAGCACATTAAATACCTCTGGTGTTCTTTAGCACCTTCCTCTGTGCTCTGTTTGTCTTACAGTGTATTTCACCTTGAAATAATGCTGTAAGACAAATACAGATCCTTCAAGTAACTCTCTCTTTCTTCACATGACATGTGGAAAATGTCTTTTTTTCCTTCAAATTCCTTGGATCTGAGAAGCAGATCAGTCTGTACCGCAAGAAACTCAGAGATAAGAACTTGAAGTCTTAACCCATTGCATTGGATGCTTTTCCAGTAAGGTTCAGAAGTTGTTCTTAGCGCTGATGTGTCACAAGATGTTAAAACTTCCCTGGGACACGATGACATGCGGATGGCTATTTTTGAGGCTTGTGTTTTCTTTCTGTCAGGAAACTGGAAAAGTCCCTTTTTAGAGAGTGAAGGAGATGGAAAACAGCAGCACAACCTGAAATAACCACTGCATAAACTTGTACCATGAATAATACTTGTGGTTGCAGCATGAAGATTTTAGGGGCACTCAATTAGAATGATCTGCATAAGCCATTGCTGATGCAAAACACATGGCTTTCTTCCACCCCACTTGCTACAGACTGGCTCTCAATTCATTTCATTATAATAGCCAGAAAGGCATTTCATTATAATAGCAGAAAAACATCCCATTTTTGTGGGATATTTGGGGATCTCGGTGTTCTTTTCCAGGTAAAGTTGTCCTGGAGTTTCCTTATTTAACCCTTTTGCCATCTCTCTCCCAGGTGCGGGTGTACAGCGGTCTCCTGGACTGCATAAGGCAGATCATGCGAGAGGAGGGCCCGGGTGGATTCTTTAAGGGCCTCTCACCCAGCTTGCTGAAGGCTGCTGTCTCTACTGGCCTTACCTTCTTCTGGTATGAGCTGTTCTGCAGCCTCCTGTGCTCCCTGAAGACTGCCGATAGCATTGCAAGGAAGGAACGCTGAAAGGGGCATGTCTGTGGCTACCTGAGGCCCTCCTAGAGGAGGGGAAACTGATGGGCTTTGCTCTGTCATGAGCACGTTGGGAATGTCAGAGTTCCCAGAGCTCCATCAGCCTGTAGGAAATCACCTCCTGGGACCAAGCAGAAGGAGAAGGCAGCTGCAGTTCTGCTGAAGACACTGAACTGCTTTGCTGGAAGCTGTTCAACTGAGCACTTTTTTCCTCTGTTTCCTCTAATATCAGCACGCATTTAGTGGAGAGAGGGGGGAACCAAAGCAGAAAACTACCTGCTGTAAAGAGGCACCTGCTGAAGCGGGTGTATTCCTGTGCTTGCCCTGGATCACAAATTGGGATCCTGGTGTAGCTGGTGCTGCTTATCCAACCTAACACCACTTCCTATGGCTACATCCACACAGCTGTGTTTCCTTGCTCTCTGGACTGCTGTTTGCACTGTGTTCTTTTCTTGGTGTAGCACAGGCAGCTCTGCTGCTGTTGTGAAGTCAACTCAAACCTTCTTAGTGTCACACAACCTCAGTTTTCCTTTTCTTTGCTGCCAGCTGCTGCTTCTTGCTTACCACTTGAATCAGCCACCTGAAACACAGCATTTTCTGGTGGATCACACCCAGACTTGCTCTTCTTTTAACTCTGATGAGCTTGATTGTATCCAAAGTGCCCATTTCTCTTCTTGCACGTCTTACCACACATCTCTTGGGGTTCTGCATTGCCTCAGTCACACTTTTGCAATTCAATCTGCAGATTAAGAACCCCTCTCTAAGGGAATTCAACGCACAAGCCCTATTCTTTAGGGTTCTTTGCTTCAATGCAGTGAGTAACCAAATGCTGTGTAGAGTTCTAGAAATATTTAAGTGGGAATAATGAAGGAAAAGTCCTGTGGAAACTAGTAAATACCTATTATTATTATTATTATTATTATTATTATTATTATTATTATTATTATTATTATTTAATACCACCTTTGAATGTTTCCAGCAAGTATATCTGCTCAAAACCTTTCTGAATCTCACTCCTCCTGTGGTGCTAATAGCTGAAAGTGTTTTGACAAGCTAAGCTGAAGTGAAAGGACTGAGCATCAGATGGAAATTGCTTGGCTCAGAATGGTGTTTGACAAGGAAAGGGTGATGGAATTAGAGCTTGGGAAGTGATGTTCTGCAGTTTCAGAGGTTTTAGGGATGCTTTGAAAACCCAACAAAACAACGACCCAGCAGCTCTGATTTACGTAACAGGGAAAAGAGGGAAATTGCTTTCTTCCTCCTCTTTCACTGTTTTTCCAGGCTGAGCAGGGTGTGGTTGGACCAGTTACGGAATGCAGACTCTGAGGAAGAGCTGCTGTGATACAAAAGCCTGTCAGTCATCTGGTGAGTGGTGGATGGGGCAGAGCACTGCTGTTATTTAGAGGATGGTTTGATAGCTTTTCTCTTCATACAGAGCTTCCCATGGCTCTTTTGCAGTATCCAGGGTGTTAATCCTAGATGTTGGCCACATTCCAACGTGACCAGTTCCATTCTTCTGATGCAACTTCTGGCAATTTTGAGCATATCAGCATTGCTCCCTTATCCTGTGCTATTGTGAGAGGCTGGTTCCGAAGAGCAGCTGTTTCACTGGTATCTGAGGTAACCAGAGAGATTCCTTGCAAGCCCAGGCCAAATAACTTGGTGTCTGCTGTGGTTTGAGATGTTGGAGTGTGAAGTGGCTGTTTGCAGGTGACTTTGAGAACTGTTTAAATTTAAATCCACTGAGCAGTGGTGGTGGCAGGCAGGAGGCTCATACAGGAGCCTTAAAGAGGGAGTATTAGCTGCATGTACTCCAAAAATGCATAGTTTTGCTTATTGGAGATAGTACAAAGAATGTGGAGTAAAGTGTCTCAAAGTGCCTCAATCTGAGTGGCATTTTCCTGTGTTATTTAAGCTGAGATTCCCCCCAAATCTTAACTATATTTTGCCTTTGTTTCTTGTTCATCTCTTGTTCTTGGAAAGACATCACAGCCAGTGATGGACTTACCCTCATGCCATCCTTCCAATGAGAGAAACATCTCATTGTGAAGCAGAGTCAGACAGGCTGGGATTGTTACTGGCTTTTGGCTGCTGGTACAGAGGAGTGCTGTCATGGGTAGCAGGGACAGGACTGGCCACAGCAGGTTTCTGTGCTCTCTTAGGCTCCCATAGGAAATCAGGCCTCATCCATCCTGTGTAAACCTTACAAGACTCTTTGTTTTTCACTTTATATCAAAGAGCTGCTGTTAAACTGCACAAAATAGGGGGAAACTGGTGAGGACTCAGCAGTGGGAATTGCAGCCTCTGGAAGGGGTGGGGGAGTTGCTTTGGTTGTCATAGGGGTAAAGAATAAAGAAGAGAAGACTGCGGAGACAGTGCTCCTTGAGTGTTCTGTGGAGCTTAAGGTGATGCAGCTCTAGGGGCATGTAACTTGGCTGCTGTGCATGGAGAGCAGCAGTGGAGGGTGCAGAGCAGCTTTTCCTTCTGGGATAGTTTTTTCCTCCACTGCATTAAATACACTTGCCTCCATCCAACAGATGGCAAAGGTGGAGTTGAAGATGCCAGTCTGTGGAAGAGACACTCCTGGTCAGGAGCTTCAGCACACAGCCTGGTTTGTTGTTTTCTCTTTGGGAATGACTGATTTAGCACTAGGAGGACAGGTCTTACTTGTGATGCTGATTGAAGCCATTTCCTTGAATTTGAGGAGCAGGAGATAGGAGAGATCTGCAGTCACCTTGTTCTCTGTTGTGGGGGACAGATCTGCTCTCAGATACTCCACACGGTGAGTGACTCGCTGTCAATCTGTGCCAGGTTTTTCCCATTGGGATGGCTGGGATTTCCCTCTGATGTCATCCTGTCAGGGGGATCTGCGTTGCCTGTGATTGTGTTAGCTTTCTAATAGTGCCTTACACCATCAGAACATCCAAAAGGACTTCAGCAGGGAAGGCCGAGCTGTGCTGTGGTTGTTGCTCTTAGCTGGCCTCAGGCAGGAGGACACAGATGCACAAGTTCTGTGGTGGACACAGTGTCCTCCAACAGTGAGTCCTGGGACACTGTTCTTGGAAGGCTCCTCCAGAGGGTGGCTTGTGAAAAGAAATGGATGTTTGACAGTCAGGCTCGGAATAGATAGTTCTTAGTTTGGGTTTAAGTTTCTCATGTGATGTAGTTGGATTGTCTGAGGTGTTTTGTTGTGTTTCCTGAGTGGATCTGTTGCAGCTGCTGTTGGAAGGTGTCCGAGCACAATGTGTGCTACCTTTGAGGCAAGGTACAGTAAATACTTTATGCTCCCGTCTGGCTACAGTTCCTTTATTCCTTCCCTCCTGAATATTCGGGTGGATCCCATGGGATCGCTGTGCCCCCCTCCTACCCTGGGGGAGGACAGCCAGGCCATGGTGCGGGGCACTAGGAGGGTCTGGTTTTTCTTCCCTATCACTGGCTCCTGGGAGCCATCTCATCCCCTCTGTGATAATGGGGTGATGCTTTGGGTATAGCTGCACCCAGGGGGATCGGTGGAGCGGGATCTCCAGCCCAGTCCCACCTCTGTGCCCCAGAGGGTCAAGCGGAAGCTCATGGGTGGGAGCCCCACACCGTGGTGGATGAGTCCTGGCTTGGTCTGTACCGAGCCGGAAAGTTCCCAAACCACTCATTCTGGTTTCCTGAGCTGTTCCTGGCTGCTCTGCTCCTGTCTAAGTGCTGCCGAGCCTTCCCCTTGAGGAGGTGACACAGTTGGGAGTGAAGCGATGAGGATGCTCCCGTTGCAGTGAGTTGCTTTAAAGCCTCTCCCCTCATATTTTCCCCATGTGTTTTTCCACAGCCGGGGGGAGCGGACTGACCGCGGCTCGCAGCGGGACAGCGGCGGGGGCCCGGGCGGTGCTCCCGACGTGGGACCGGGACACACCGGGAAGTGCGGCCGGGGGGGAGCCGCGGTGCCCCGGAGCTCGCAGGCGGTGGCGCTGCGGCGGCGGCCGCGGCTCGCCCGGCCCGGCCCGGCCCGGCCCTCCCCCGGCTCGGGCGAGGAAATGACCTAAGAGGAAACCGGGGCCGCGGCGGGGCCCGGGGCGCTCCCGCGATGCGCCCGCGGCCGGAGGAGCCAGCGGGGCGGCCCGGCAGGTCGGTGGCGCTGGGCACGGCTCCCCCCGCCCTGCCCTGGTCGCGGGGCTGGGGCGAGGCGGCGGCGGGGGGTACCCGGGCACAGAGGGGTCCCGGTGCTGCGGGCTCCATCGGTGGGGATGGGACGGGGGTCCCCGAGGTGGTTGTGCCCTTCGGAGGAGACTTCGCTGCTCTTCGCCCTCTGCTTGTGGTGGCCGCGGCACGTCCTGCCCTTCCCACAGGGATTGACCCGCTGCGATGCAGCCGGTCGAGGACACCAACCCCAACCACACAAGTCCCCAGGATAGCTCGTCTAGTGGGGACCACTGGAGTAGTTGGTACCCGCGGGTGATGCTGTGCCTGGAGTCACCCACTGCCACCAGTCCTTCACACACGGTGGTCCTGGCTGGTTTGCACTCGGGGCAGGGTTGTTTGGCACAGCAGCTCCAAGCAGCCTTGCCCATCCCCGGGGAGCTGCGGGGATGCTGTGGGAGCGGCGCTGGGCGGTGGTGACAGACGCTGCCGGACGGGCTCGGGCGCTTCAGCTTCGCTGTGTGCGGCGCTGAGCTGTCGCCAGGTTCCTTCAGCACAGCGATGCTGCTGCTGCTGCTGGGACCCGGGGCTGGAGAGGCCGGATGGAAGGTGTTTGTCACCCAGGCATGGCACGGAGGGCACAGAGCTGCTTGTGAATCCATCTGGGAAAGAGACTTCAGTGCTGGTCCCACAGGTAACCCTGTGTAGGTGGCAGTTTTGGCTGTGGGAGCAGTGTTGGCTGTTGTCACCCCATGGGGCAGGAGGGGAGGGCAGAGCCTCTACCCACTGCTCTCTGCTCCGAGGTACTGTGTCTATGTGCCCCATGCTTCCAAAGGGTGATGGGCTTTTTGGCTTTAATCCCTGTCAGGACCTATTTGCAGTGAGGGATGAGTAACAGCAGAGGAATTTCAAGCTGGCAAAACCCATTTGGCTGAGTGCCCTCCCCATGTGTGTGCTGTGGGTCTGGCCAGCCCAGCAGTTTGTGTTGAGCAGCTCATCTTGTATGTGTGTGTGTGTGTGTGTTAGAGAAGCCCTTCCTCTCTGTGCCATAACTCTGTGCTGTCTTTAGTGTATCACAAAGCAGCAGCAAATTAATCTGGAGGCTCTTTAGGAGCAGCGCTGGTCCTGCATAGAGCTGTGCTTGGCTGCAGTGGGATGGGATGGGATGGGATGGGGTAGGAGCTGGTGGGGATTTGGTTGCAGAGCGTGCTGTGTCTCGATGAGGGAGCCTGGTTGTGGTGCAGGGGCTGCTCTGGATCCTTAGGTGCTGGGTTGGATTCCTCCCAGGCTTTTGTGTGACACCAGCTGAGCTGGTGTGTTAAAGGCACAGGGAGCAGCTGCACTGGGTGCTCCTGTGTGTGTCCCTGTGATAAAGCCTTCCGAGGCGAGATAGGTGTATTTTGGGGCTGTCTTGGTGTGCTGTGCCCTGTGAACCTGCAAATCAACAGGCTGCAACACATTTCATACCAGAAGAACATAAAGGCTCAGAAGATTAAGTCCTGTCATAGGAAACAAGGCTTAAAAGGATGTGGAGGAAGACTTTGCTCAGATGTAGGGCTGGTGGGAGCTGTCATGATAACAGCCTGTGCACCAGCACCAGATGAGATTTGCCAATGGCTGGGTGAAGGTCTGCCTCTGACCAACTATGCTGTGTATGTGTTCTTTCCCCAGGGACTGACACTAGCCCATCCAGTGCCCTGACTCTTGCCCTTGGAGGAAGCCAGTCATGGGGGAAACAGGCAAAGAAGAATATAAAATACAGTCATTTGATGCCGAGACACAGAAGCTGCTGAAAACAGCCCTCAAAGGTCAGCAGGCTTTGTACTTACTCCTCTGCTGCAGTTTGGCATGCACATGAGGCTGGACCCCTGTAAGGAACACCCAGTATTCAGTGTAGAAGAGCTGTTCTGCGAACACTGATCATCCCTGACTGGGTCCTGTTGGTGAATCTTCTCTGGGAAGGTCTTTGCTCCCCCCTCTTTTTACCCCCTCTCGCCTTCTCCCCAGTGTTTAATGGTGCTGCTGTTCAAACTCAGCTCCTGGTTCTCATCACTGGGATTCTCTCTGATTTCGGGGTACCCCCTCTCCTGCCCTAACTCAGCATCTCTGCCCAGGCCTGGCCTCTCATCCCTCTCCAGCACCCTATTCCTGCTCACTGTCCCTCCATGCTGTGGGGTCATCTCCTGCTCACTGGTCAAAGCCCTGCAGGAGTTTGCCCATCTAGCTCTCACTAACCCAGCTTTGAAGCAGTGCTGGGATTTCACATTCAGATCAACTTGCTTCCAGTATTATCTGCGTTTTCCATCACTTTCCCACCATGATGGCTGTGTCTCCAGCCTGGGAGGACCATGCACCACTGGAGCTGGTGTCTCCAAAGCAGCTGGTGTGTGAGAAGGGGCTGGGACTCTTGATGTGGGAGCAAGCGTGAGGTTTTGCACCATATAACATGGTTGTACCAGGATCCACACTGACCTTGATTGCTTTCTAGGTACTCCAAAGCAAGCAGGACATGAAGGGTGCTGGCTCCTGACAGTGCTTCTCCTCTTTGCAGACCCCAGCAACGTGGACCTGGAGAAAGTGGCCAATATCATAGTGGACCAGTCCCTCAAAGACTGTGTGTTCAGCAAGGAGGCAGGGCGCATCTGCTACACCATCATCCAGGTGAGAGCTCCTCGTGTCTGGTCCTTGGGCTGGGCCAGGAGAGGCTTTGCCCCAGCCCTGTGCCATGACCCCTGAGCTCTTCTGCTGCTTGCCCCTTGCTGTGGCAGCATCCAGATGAGCAGCAGTGAGCACAGGCTGCAGCTTTCCTGCCTCTGGGGGCAGTCACAGGAGGGTATCTATGTGGTCCTGCATCCCCCAAGGAGCAGCATCCCCCTGCCCCTCTCACACCCCCAGTTCATGCCTCCATCCTGCTTTGTGGGCTCATAGGCAGAGAGCAAACAAGTTGGGCAGAGCATCTTCCGGAGGAGCCTGCTGAACCGGCTGCAGCAGGAGTACAAGGACCGGGAGGAGCTGCGCACCCGCTCGCTCCAGGCCTGGATCTGCTACGTCACCTTCATCTGCAACATCTTCGACTACCTGAGGGTGAGGAGCAGGAGCTGAGGCCGCTGCCTGGGGGTGCCAGAGGGGCCTGGGTGTTCAGAGTTGCCAGGGCTGGGGTGGTGGATGGGTGCTGAATGGAGCCCCAGGGCCGTGGCTCAGCAGTGGGAGCCAGAGCCGGTTCTCAGCACAAGGATGCTGCTGGAGCTTGTGATACCTACAGGCAAGCAAACAGGCTTGGAGAGGCAGAGCCCTCTCCAGGAACAATCACAAAGTCTGAGCTTCCCCATTTTGTACCTGGTGTTTGAAAGCCCCTGTTTTGTCTGCTCCCAGATGTCCCAGATTGAACTGGTTTAGTCCTGGGTGGACCTGTGGGTGCTGATATAATTACTAGCCCATGTACTGACAGAGCTTGTCTGCAAACCTTTGCTGCAGTGTGTGTGCTTGGAGTAGATGTAAATTTGATGCAAGCAGAGCTGCAGGCAGGAAAACGCTGTTGCAACAAGTGCATTTCCCATGATTACCTGCTTCTATTTAAAAATAGGTGTTTTTCACATCATTTGTTCAGCTTCTCTGGCTCCTGGAGACTCAAGTGTCTGGTCTCCTACGGGAATCCCACCAGTACACAGTTCAGCAGCACAACTGAATGCTGCTCCCTTCTCCTTTGAAGAGCAGCACTGGGACAGCTATATAGAATAGCTGCAGACTCCTCCCTTTCTGCCCCCAAGCTGATGATGGCTTCTGCCTCCTTGCAGGTGAACAACATGCCTATGATGGCTCTGGTGAACCCTGTTTATGACTGTCTGTTCCGGCTGGCACAGCCCGACAGCCTGTGCAAGGAGGAAGAGGTGAGTGCAGGGAAGAGGGATGCTGATGTGCCTGGGTCCTGCTGAGAACCAGCAAAAGGCACAGCCTGGGGGGATGCAGGAGGGAGAGCTGCCTCCTGGGATGTGCCGGAAGAAGGGTTTGCAGCCTGGGAGGAGGCAGGATGGAGGTGCTGGTTCCGACTCCCCTGCCCAGGCTGCGCGTCCTCCCTTGGAGCAGCTTTCCTCCCCACTGCCAAAATGTCATCACTGTAGATCCAGCAACAGAGCTGGAAGCAGGGATTTTCTGGTGCTACACAGGTTCAGTCCCATCATGTGAGAAAAACACAGATGATTCCCCCATTCCCACAGAACCAGCTGCTTTTCCAGCATTCCCAACTGGTGGACATCTGGAAAAGCAGCTGCCACATTGGTGTGCTGAGGCATTGCAGCACTGGGAGGTGGTGGCAGGCAGCTGCAGTTGCTCACAGCAACTTTGGGGAAGCAGAACTATCACCTCTTGGAACTCCAGAACAGAGGGAATGGGATGAGTTGGTCCATAAGTGACTGAGGGGAACCTCTACAGATGTGCCAGAGCTCTCCATTCCCTTCATCTCTTCCTCCTGAAGGTGGACTGCTTGGTTCTACAGCTCCACCGCATCGGCGAGCAGCTGGAGAAGATGAACTCCCAGCGGATGGATGAGCTCTTCTCCCTCCTCCGGGATGGTTTCCTCCTGCAGGAGGGGCTCAGCTCCCTGTCCCAGCTCCTGCTGCTGGAGATCATCGAGTTCCGAGCTGCCGACTGGAAGATGACGGATGCTGCCCAGAAGTACTATTACAGCGAAGTGACAGATTAAGCTCTGCAGCAGAGGGGAGATGTCCCCAGCACCTTCACCAGCAAGCTTCATACCAAGTTTGAGTTTCCTTTCACATTAATGTTCTTCTAGCACTTCCTATAAATAGGGCTTCTATTGGGTAGAGCCTCTGGGCACTCTGTCAGGCTGCAACTGGCACTAACCTGACTTCGGAGGTTGGGAGAGGTGGGAAGGGCACATTTAACCCAGGAGCTCTCCCATTGATTTTGGCTGACATTGGGCTGCTGCCAGCAAAGGGCAAGCTTTGAGTTTCTAGCTCAAACCAGCATTTTGTGAGTGTTAAAAGCACAATTTAGGCTGAGGACATTTTGGTTTATCCAAGGGCTGTGGGAAGCAGAGGGGAAATCAATCCCAGCTCAGGTTGTACCCGGTTCTCCGGGACAAGTCACACAAAACACCGTGGCCTCACAAACAGCTCAACCAAGTGCTATTTTTCCCAGGCTCCTTCCAGCACCTGCATGCACACAGCCACGAGTACCTGCCACAGGGCTCTAGTAGCTGGTTCTAGAGAACCCAACTACTCACGTGTAGTTCTTTACTACATGCGCAGGTCCCTGAGCACATGTGGCCAGGCACAGGTTTTGTAAGTTTTATACAACTGTCCTGTTTTATCCAACTTTAGGGAATTTCAACTCTGGAATGTTTCTTACAATAGAAGAAAAGAAACAAAATAGTCTATTGAAGGATTTTTTCTAATAAAAGTTTTCCACTAACATGCCCTGCTTTCTGTCTGCGCAGCTGCTGGGCTTTACTTAAAGGTTACTCCTGACTTAAGGCTTCAGTACTCATTTTGTCCTCGGGTGTAGGGTGTCACCAAGGCTTTGTACAACCAGGGTTACTGGAAAAAGCAGTCTGAGAGTCAAGCAACAAAGGCTTGGACTCGAGAAACCTTTCCCATACAACTGGTTTTATTTTGCTATTATTCCCATCAAACCTGTGCAGACAATGCTGCTCGTGACCAGAACCAACTCAAAAAGGGCCTTTTATTGCCTTTTGTACCATTCAAAGTGTTGTGGTGTGACAAAAGTCCAGCTCTGTTTTTAGCTGTGCAGCCAAAACCATTGCTGATTGCAGGAGCAGAGACTTACAAGTCTTGCAGTAAAGGTAAGTGGAAGATTACTTTGTGCAGCATTGCTTTAAGAAAACATCTTAAGGCTTGTCTTTACCGGGAAGTGATGATGAAATAACCAGAGCAGAGGTTGGTAACTCCAGATTCCTCCTTTCCCCATCCCAACAAGCGCAGAGGAACCTTGTGGGATCAGATGAGCTTTCCCTGGCTTAGTTCAGAAGCTGTCTGGAAGGGATCTTCCTCCTTTCCCTCTTCTTTCTCCCCAGCTGCCCCCAGGCAGGCAGTGCTGGGGCGGGTGGCACCGTGTCCCATGCAGAGTCCCTACCACCAGCGGTAGTGGGCATACGCCCGGTTGGCCTCTGCCATCTTGTGCAGCACGTGCTTCTTCTTGATGATGGGCCCCTCGTTGTTGTAGGCCAGGAGCAGCTCCTGGGAGAGCTTCTCGGGCATCAGTGTCCGGCGGTGCTTGTTCTCCCTGCACTCAGTGATCAACCACTTCATGGCCAGGAAGCGCTTCCGATTGTCCTTCAGAGGGACTGGCACCTGGGGAAGGTGGAACCCGTAACAGTTATCACACTGTGAGGGGGCAGGAACCTGTTCTGCTCCAGCAGTCGCACAGGTCCAGCCCATGCTGCTCTCTGCAGTAAAACCAGCACCTAGCAGCTCATCTGTCCCAATTCACCTCCTGTCCACAGGAACTGGCCACTGCTACCAAATGGATGTTCTGATCAGCCTTGGTACTGCCTTGAAATGGGCTTTGTAAGGACTTCTGGGCTGTTTGGGAGCTGGACCCAGGCTGGTTTGTGCTGCAGAGATGGGAGATGGTCCCTACTCCACTGAATGACAGAGAAATGCCTCCACATCTTATTTCCCCATCAGGTCTCCATGTTGCAGAGCTTGTACTTAAGACAGGTTCTGCTCATTTTCAACCCTCCACTGTATCTAATTGATGTTTTCTGCTACACTGACCTGCCCCAGGGCTTTGGGACCTCTACCCAAGCAATGTGGTGCTGCACAGAGGATGAGACCCATAGTCCTGCAATGCCAATTCGTTTGCTGCCTGTCACTGATCTCTTCTTGGACAACATTTGCTGCATCCTCCTTATCAGAGAAGCAGAAACCATTGCTGACAGGGAACTGCCGTGCTCACAGGCTGGGGGCCTGATTTTGGACAAAGCTCTAGGTGCTGTTTTAATCCAGACTGCAAAGCATCCCTCTTTCCAAGGGGAGGAAAGCTTGAGCTGAAGGGGTGGAAACCAGTTCATCTGCTTCCCTAACTCTCTCCCATCCAGATGTGCTCCCAGGCCCCCCTCTCACCTGGTAGGTTTTGCCTCCTTTTGTGATGTTGCTGAGCCCAATGATGGGCTGGCAGTTTTTCAGAGCCTGGTGGAAAATGACGTAAGGGTTGCATTCAATTGTCTCCTTCTCATCTTCTGGAGCTTTGTGGTACTTCTCCAGCTGCTTTCTCTTAATGGCCTCTAGAGTCTTGGGATAAAGACAAGAGACAGAGCAGATGGACCGTGTGTCCTTGTTTCAAGGGCTTTCAAGGATGGAATGGACCAGATGGGACCATCAGCTAATACCAGTTACTGTAGGTCAGAGCAGGGGTCAAAGCTGTGACACATCTGTGAGATTTCATTGGCAAATTATACAGAAAATAAGGCACGAAAGAGCTGGAAGGAAGATCATTTGAGAAAATCATGCTTTTAAAAGTATTCTCTGAGTTTACGCAGTACATAAGGTCCAAGGGCTACTGAAGAGTGGAAAGAGAATGTTCTCCATTAGGCTCCCACCACCTGGGCTGTGAGCTGAATGAGGCTGAAGCTTGTACAAAATGCCTTATCAGGTAAATAACAGTGAGAACAGAGTGCAGGGACCACAGGGATAACCTGAGTTCTGATAATTCCTTATTCCAGGGAGCTTGACATCACAGCCTTCCATTTTGTATTGGTTTAACCTAATAGAAGAAATATGAGTTCTCACCTGAGACATGAGGCTTCTGGCCAGCACTTTATTTCCACCCTTCATCATCATATTGGTGAATTTACTGCAAACACAAAGCCAAAGGTGAACCGATTTCCATCACCCACAGAAACAAGCCCCACCCCTTTTGTGCCGTTCCTGTTGTTAAGTCTGGGTGCTGCTGGATCTGCTGTGATTATCTCTAATCACTGCCAGTCACTGGCTTTGTGGGGAAAAGATTAACCTGGAATAAAGGGATTGCGCTGTGACAGAAGGCAAGGGCAGCACAGCAAATAAAGGCACAGCTCCACAGGTATTGTGGCTCCACAGGAGACGGTGCCTTCTCTGACCTGATCATAGGGTCGCTGAACACAGAGCTGGAGAGACTGGGGGGTGCAGCTTTGATGGGCTGAACAGCCTTATGCTCCAGTTTCTCCTTCTCCTCCTCAGTGAGCTCCTCTGGACGTTTCTGGTACAATTCCTTGTTCACCTCTGGCTCTATGTAACTGGGGTTGTAGCGGCTCCATCTCACCTGCGTCAGCCTGCGAGGAGCAAGAGAAAGAGGGCTGTAAACAGGCACACACAGTATGTCACGACGGGGATGCGGGCAGGGGTGAGCACGCCTCAGATGGACACACTGCACTTGGGAGACATCTCCACCTTCCTCTCCATCGCTGCATTTCTACTGCAAGGCACACTGCAGGCCAGGCTGGATGTGGTTCTGGACAACCTGGTCTAGTGAAGATTTCCCTGCCCATGGCAGGGGTTGGAACTGGACGATCTTGAGGTCTTTTCCAACCCCAACCATTCTAGGATTCCATAAACCAGTAGTTTTGCTGCAGGCCACGCCAAAGGGACGGGTGGGATCCCAAGTCCCAGGCACAGCACAGGGCCCCTGCCCGACCCTGACGCTCCCTGAGGGCCCGGCCTGTGCGTGTCTCGAACAAACACCGCTCTGTGCCCCTGGCAGTGGGGCGAGTACCTTACACCGTGACTCCATTCATTACCCGCCTCGGGACGCGCATTTGGATGCGTTTCGGAGAGGAGCAACCGCGGTACCGAGACCCCCGCACCTCCCCCGACACAGCGGCTGCCCCGAGCCCCGCCGGCAGCCCAAAGCACCGCAACCCGTGTGCGGCCAGGCCCGGGGACCACCCCATCGCACAGCCCCGGCCCCGCTTACCGCGGCAGCCATGCCCGCAGCCGCCCGCCCACGCCCGTCGCCATGGGCGCCGCCATCTTCCCTTAGGGGCGGAGCCAAGCGCAGCGTGAGGGGGCGGTCCTTAGATTGGCCACGCCCCCTCCCCACCAGCGGGTCTCGCGCGGCCGGGGCGGGGCCTGGGGCCGGGCCGGCAACATGGCGGAGGCGGAAGGGGAGAGCCTGGAGTCGTGGCTCAGTGAGTACCCGCGGAGCCCCCGCCTCAGCGCCGCTCCCTCGGCACCGGGGTCCCCGCTCCCCTCAGCCCCGGCTCCCCCGCAGCCCCGGCTCCTCCACCCGGGCCCTTCTCACCGCCGCCCTACCTCTCCCCCCTCAGCCCCGCGCCCACCTCAGCCCCGGGCCCTTTCCCATCGCCTCAGCGAGCCGGGAGGCCCCTCGCAGGCCGTGGCCGTACAGAGGAGGCCGAGGGTGGTCAGAGCACCCAGGGGCCGGTCCTCCGGAGCAGAGACCTCCGCTAGCGCGGGGTGAAGCGGCTGAGGCCTCGCCTCCTGCCGGGGTCGCGGCCACCGATCGCCCGCTCTGGTGTCCTGTGCCCCCGGTGCCACAGAGGCGCGGGGCTGTGGTGGTTGTGGGGGTGTAGCTGTGGTTTGGGTCCGTTAATCGATGTGCTGCCTGGGACGTGCGAACGATGGGCAGGTTTGGAGCTCACCTCGCTCTGCTGGGGGGTATTTTGACCGTGAGGGTTTGTATGTGTGTGCTCCCCTCTCCTGGGTTTTGGTTAGGGAAGCGCACAGCGTTAGTGCTGTTGTGAGGCTGAGAGCGGTAGGGGTTTACCTAGTGAATTGTATTGCTGTGTTACACAACCATGATTGTCAAGCAGATGGGTTTTGCTTGGTGCCTAGCTGCAGTTTCAGGTGTCTGTTCCATATACATTGGCATATTTAAAACCCCTTTGTCAAGCTAAGGTATATTTCATCACATCAGGCACAGGTTAAACCCCAAAACATGGCCTTTTCATCCCCAGCCCTTGCTGAGTATCTCCTCATTGAGTGTCTGCGAGCCGGGTGGCTGTGGGGCTGTTGGCTGTACAGAACCTGGTGCTGCAGGATCCCAACCCAGTGCAGGCAGATCGGGAGGTGATTCTTGAATGAATCAGTCGTAACAGTGATGGTTTTCCCTATATTCCATGCACAGGGGCTGCTGCTGCTGCCCCTGGGAGGCTGTCCTGGGCATCGCCAGCTCGTTGTGTGAAATGTCTTCTTACTGTAATTGCTGTTTGGTTGCAGCAGTGAGTGGAGTTCTGAAGTAGCTGGAGAGTAGGCAAACAGCAGATGGTCATTAAATATCATAGAGTATAAAGCCTCTTACCCTTTTGGAGTTCTCTTCCCATAAACAAGGTTAATTCTTGTTCTTTCTTGGTATTTTTTATATGAAACTCCAGCACATACCCAGTATCCTCATCTGTCACAGGAGTTACTGGCGAAATGACATTTTCAGGCCTTATTTCTCAGTTTAGATCAATGCCTTCTGGCCCCTCACCATTTTTGCTCCTCCTCTGAACTCCCACTGTTTGTCAATATCTCTTATTGTAGCCAGTGAGACACATGAAGAAACACCCACATCCCATCCTTTTAATCTTCCTCTGAGGAGCACTGACTCACCGAGTTCAGTTTGTGTGTGAAAATATCCCTAGTAGGGATGCTATTTTAGGTTGTGTCGCCTGGAAAGCTTCCTGCCTGTTTGTTTTGTGGGCTTGTTTTGCAATTGTGGATGTTAAGAGAGAACTTCTCCCTCTTTGGCCGAGCAGTAGGATGTTCTGCACAGGAGAACACATGCTGATGGGTAGTGTTACAAAAGCCTTACTCACTGTAAGTAGTGCAGTGAGCCTGCCTGCAGAGGTGTACACATTTTTCAAGGCTTGAGGGTTGCACTCTCATTTCAGAGGATGCTTTTATGCCAGGTCACTGCCACAGTGATTTGTGCTGGTGTGATTCTGTTGCTCCTCCCATCATAGAGGAGCACAAAGCATTTAGTGTATGTGAATTACTGGAGTCGTGCAGCCCGGTGCAGAGGCTGTGCAGCTTCTACCAGGCCTCCTGAGGGGTTTATTCTTGTAACCATCACAAAGCTGGGCTGTGTCCGCTGCTAACCTTGAGGGTGAGCACCTGCTGTGCCCTTCCTAAAGGGAAGGGCTGGAATTGCTCTGGAATTCCAACTTCCCAGGCACAGAAGGTGGAAAATTTCCTCCTGCCAATGATTTTTCCTCTGTACCTTCCATGCTGCCCTGTCTGTCATCAGGTGGAGTCATAGACCCATGAAGTAACATCATCCTCGTGTCCTAATGCTGCAGCAAGATCTGCACTTGAGCCAGTGATGATCTAGCATCTTCATGTTTCCTGCCTCATCTCAGGCAGCTGGGATGAAAGAAGGTGATTCCTGCTGTTCTCTCCCTGCCAGCAGCCTCTTCTGCTGCACTGAGCTGAAATAGAAGAGGTTAGGAAGTAATGGCAGTTGTACAAACACAGCTGGATCCTTTGATTTTAGCACTGCCTTTACTGCATCCAGAAGGAAGCTGTCTGTGTCTCACTCATGTCAGGCTTAGGCAGTGCCTCTCTATATGATAGATGCAGGTGGATAAAGTATTGTGACTGTCTTCAGTTCTTTTTCCCTTGTATTGTCATGGATCAGCATTCTCCTCCTGGGGATACAAACAAAATTGGGCTGTTAAACTTGACAGGCTTGGGCTAGGGATTCCCAATTCATGTACCAGGCCTGACCTGGGGGAAGCCCTTTTTGGGGATGGTTTTTGTCTCATTTCAGAAGTAAACCTCGGAAAATACGATCATTCATTACCAGTCAGTTAATGGTCTGTGCTTCTCTGCCTTCCAACAGTTGATTCTCTGTACAGAAAAGAGAAAAGAAGCACCTTTGTTTCATATCTAATGATGCATCTGAACATTGCCTCGTTGTGTTCCAGGGTCTATCAGAGCAGCTGAGACATGGATGGCTCTGGTGCTTAGGTCAAGTATGAAGCAACTTTGTGTCCAGGGATTTAATATTCCAGAGTACAAAACTCTCCTTCCTGAAGTGAATCCTTTCATGTAAGTGTTGAAGTATATTTATAAGGCACTGCAGAGGAGCTCCCTGCCCCTATCTTAAGAGTTCTGCATAAAAACATAGGACTTTTAAGTTGTGCCTTGATAGACATGGTGCAGCTTCATGTAGGGATGTCCTGCAAAGAGAAATTTAGCTCGCTTGGGATGCTGTGTTCATATGGCTGCACTCAGATGGTAATAAGGATCTGTACACACCATTGTGTTGTGTCATGCAGACGTATCAATCTCCAGAGCCAGGGCAGGATTCCTTATCAAGCTTACTAACTTATGATCTAGGGGTTCACACTGAGATTTTATGAGTATTAGAAATAGGGAGTTGCTTCATGTGGAACATAGCTTCCCTTCAGTAACCTCCTTCTGAGACTTTGCTATCTCTGTGTGAGAGCTTCTGGTGCAAGAACTCTCTGAACTCAGTTTGAGTGTGAACTAATCCAGTGTCATTCCAGTCTTTGGAGATGTTTGGTACAGCTTTAAAATGAATGCTTGGAACATGGCACCACTGGTTACATGTTCCTGTTTGTACCGCAGCTTTTTCCTGCTTTCAGGATGTGCATCCAACAAAGAGTTCATGTGCTTGAGTGTCCTTATTTGTTTGTGCTCTTCCTGTAGTTATTAAATCCATTCCATTAACTCCAGCCAAGAGCTGTGCTTTTTCATCTTCAGAGCAGCAGAGGTGCTTTGGAGCACTGAGCTGTGCGTGATGCCATTTGACGTGCATGGAAAGGCTTCACATTGTTCTAGGCCCGTGGTTTCCTGATGCTTCCAGGGTGCTGAGCAGTTGTGTGTGGTAACCAGGTTGAAGTGTCCCATACGTTTTGAACAGTTGCTTGGCTCTGCAGCAGCTGTGCTTTGAACTGAGCCTCTCTTGAATCTCTTGAGTTCAAAAATTAGCTTTGTAGCTTCACTTGTACGACAGGATGGGATCCTCCAGCTTGTCCTCTCTGCCTGCTGCCTTCTGCTTCTTCAGGGTCCCATGTAAGTCAACAGCAGGCATAGGGATTCACCTCTGTGGAGTGTTTTCCAGATGAAAACTATGGAATAACTTACAGAATGGCTTTACAACTATTCCCTTTGAGGAGGAAGAAAATACAAGCAAACCTTGTAGGATTGCCACAGTAGGAGGACTGAGGTGTGCTGTGAAAGTGGGGTTATTCTGTTTGGCAGCTGGTTTTATCTACCTGTGGAAAGGTAAAAGGATGTGTTTTAATGATGATAAACAATGACACTTTGTAATGTAGCATGTGTGGAGTTCATTATTCTTCCCTCTATGATGAAAGTAGAGGGATGTGTTCCCTGCCCTTCATCCTCTGCTCTATACTGTCTAGCTAAGCAATACTTTCTTTTCTACATCTCTTCTTATTGTATTGAAATTTTTATGAAGGCTCCTTAAATGCCATCCCCGAGGTGTATAGCATTGTTTCTTCCCTTACAGGAAAGAAAAATCATGTCTGCTCATCTTAACTGGAAAATTAGGTTAAAGCAGGAATTTTGTCTCCTGTAAATCCAGTGCTCCATCAGGGTGAAGTAGAATACGTGGATGAGATGCATTCATAATAAAAAAAGCTGCTGATAGCATCACTATTCTGCAATCAGCACAGTAAGTGAGGTCCTGGTACCCAGGGGAGGATCCTTCAGGAGCCTGAAATAACCCAGTCAGTAAAGCATCGATCTCTCAGTCTGAGCATGCAGGGTTTGAATTGCTGATCAAGCCCACGCTGGAGTGTTCATTACTTGCAAGAACAGCTCAATGTATAATAATGAATTTCACTTCATAATTCCCAGAAGGAATGCTAAGGCATCTAACAAATCAACTGGCACTCTTAATACTTAATGCTAAATGCCTGTATTAAACATCTGATGTTCCAGCTCTTCCACTAAACTTCCAGGGAATACGCCAATAATTTCCTGTGTAGAGAGTGTGAGGGTTTAGCTTTTAAGTTTAATGTTAGAGCCAAACAGAAAGAGCATTCAGGCAGAGGGAAGCTCTGTGAGCTCACGTGTTTTATCTTGTGCTCTCATTTAGAGTATGGAAACAACATGTTTTTTATAAGTACCTGAGATTTGGCACCTGGCTTTTTGGGAAGCAGCGATTCCTGCTGGATATTTGGATGTTTCAGCTTGAACACACCCTTTTCTCTGAACAGACAGACCCTGTGTGAACCTCTTCCTCCTTTATAGTTGGCAAAAGATGTCAAATGTTTTTGTCTAGGAAGTGCATGACCTTTTCTACTGTTTCTTTTGCTTGCTTGGTAATATATTCTCTTTCCCTTGCCAAAGATAAAGCCACTAACCCATCTAACAGGCAAGAAGACTGGGAATACATCATCGGATTCTGTGACCAGATCAACAAAGAACTTGAAGGGTGAGTGTCCAAGAGTGCTCTAGGCCTCATAAATTAATATTCACAGCTTTAAGTGTATCACTTGATCGTCAGACTTTCATGTTGTCTTTTATATATGCTGATATCACAAGGAGGATGTGGCTATAAAAGAAACAAGATGCTTTGAAGTGTGGTTTCTCTTCTGGGATGCATGGCTTATACACAGGCTGAGCACTAGGAGAATGGCAATTCTGAATCTGCCCCTAATTCTGCAGCTGCAGATTCTCATCTGGCTGAAGTTCCTCTGGTTGCCAGGCTGTGAAGTGGGGTTATAACTGTTATTAATGCCTGATGGGCCTCACACCCTTAAAAACATTACTGGGCTTAACTGAGGAAACCTCTTGGGCCACAGCATTCCTGGGAGTTAAGGGAGAAGAGTTTTCTTTTGGAAAGATGAAGCTAATGCACAAGAAATGAAGGGATTTCCTGGGCTGGGAACTGGACTGGGAGTTGTTTGGCCCCTCCCAAGGAGGAATCTGGAATGGCTGGCCCAGACTAAGGAGCTCTTGCTTCCTTTCCTATGTGCAAACACCCAGCCTTACAAAGATGCCTCCTGTTAGCCTTTGTACAGTGGGGGAAAGAGACAAAGTGCTCCTTTCCTTTAGTTATGTGAAAGACAGCTCATTTAAACAGCAAAATCTGTGAAAGTCTGAAACATCCTTCACTGCGTTTACCCGTTCTGTTTGTAATGGGGATCTGCTTTGTTTCAGGCCACAGATAGCTGTGAGACTCCTGGCTCATAAAATCCAGTCGCCGCAGGAATGGGAGGCAGTTCAAGCCTTGACAGTAGGTAGTCCTTACCCCTCCTCTTCAATCCACTTATATATCAGTTCATGTCATCTGTGCAGGGTATAAGGGGTGCATAGTGTGTCAGTGGGGTCAGTTCTGGGGCTGAAGGCCCTGATTCCCTTCTGCTGGGAGTGGGAGCACAGGGACCTCACTGGAGTGTCCACGTTGCTCATTGCAATGGAGCAGTCAGAAACAACTCTGGTTTAGTTTTAGCTGCTTCTGTTTGTTATCTTTGGGCAAGATTTGTGTTCATTGTTAGGAGATCTAATGGTGAGATAACTTATATATCTGCATGGCTGAGGATGGGAGACCTGCCTGCCTTGGTGTGTCACCTCTAAAGAGCTGAGCTTCGTGTATTGCAGAGCAGGAATGCGTGTCTCACTGACATGGGTCTTCGAGTTCCTCTATAAGCACAACACAGCTACACAGTTACTGTAGGGTTTTGTGTTCATTTCAGCCCTGTTTTTCTTCTTTGAATGCAGGTGCTAGAAGCTTGTATGAAGAACTGTGGGAGGAGATTTCATAATGAAGTAGGGAAGTTTCGCTTCTTAAACGAGTTGATAAAAGTCGTGTCTCCAAAGGTTAGTCCCTGGGCTATATGACTGCATTTGCTTCTTGTTTAGCCTTTTGCAGGCAGCATCCAAAATGTTTGCAGTGCTCTGGCTGGCTCATTGCATTTATTAGCCTATACTCAAGAGCATTTAGCTAAGGTTTTTTAGTTAGTTTATGTTCTGCTTACTTTTCTCAGTAAGTTGTACTTATTTACCATCAATCTCTGTTTTTAAAAACCAAACCAAACTCCAGCATCAGTGGAAGAGAGGCGTGATGCAGAGGTTAAAACAAGGTGCTTGGCAACACACCAGAGTTCTAGTCCTCACTCTGCTGCTGACTTGGTGTGTGAAGAGGGCCTGGCTAAGTCTCTCAACATTCATGTGGCGATAACTAGACGGGGGCACCCCATGGCATGATTGATGCAGCCAAGTATTCCCACATTCTCTGGGGACAGGGAAGGGGGTGGATATCTGTATTGCTGTAATTTTTAAATAGCAAAATCCTGAAAGCCACAGAACATCTGCTTTTTCCTTTGCTAAAGGTAATCACAAAGCTTCTCTTCACTATTACTTCAAATATATTAGAGGAGCAATTCTTCCTCTTAATAAGATGTATCTTAGATAATCGTGGCACTTGGGTTACACACCTTTTAATGTACATCACTCAACTTCCATTCTGTGGGTTTGGGCTTTATTTGAAAAAAAAAGAGAAATAAAGAACATGGAGAATTTACATCTTTTTTACACGTTTAGTACCTGGGAGACCGAGTCTCAGAGAAAGTGAAGACCAAAGTCATTGAGTTGCTGTACAGCTGGACAGTGGCACTGCCAGAAGAATCCAAAATCAAGGATGCCTACTACATGCTGAAGCGACAAGGTAGGAAGTTGGCTGCTAATTCATGCATCCCCTGCAGCCTGGGCTGTAAGGAGGAGTGTCACATATGACATGGTCTAGGGTGAGGTGTCCCTGCCCATGGCAGGGTTGTTGCAACTGGATGATCTTAATGTCCTTTCCAACCCAAACCATTCTGTGATTCTATATAGTTCTTTTAACTGGATCACTTTACAATTGTACCTATAGATCAGCTGATAACACATTTCCTGTGTAGGCACAGTGAAAAAAGCTCAGCTGAGAAGATGTGGCTTCAACACAAGGAAAAGTGGTTCCAGGAAAGCTCTTGAGGCTGAGCATGAATCTAAGGATGTGACAATGGAGCAAACAGGGACTTAGCTCCTCCCCCAGCCATGGTTAGGAGCCTGCTCATCACCCCATTTTGCACTGCTGCTCTCCTGCTCAGCTCGTACAAACAGATGTCTTGCCCTTGAGTCTGTACAAAGCTGGATTGTTGGGGACTGGACTTAGTGCTTCAGTAGCTAAAGAAAAAGAAGGAAAGACAAACAGTGGAGAGCTATTGATTATACTGAGCTATTAGAGGAGCAATATAGACATGGCAACACGTTTGTGGGGGTTTGGCCTTTCTTTCTCAAAGAAAACTGTGTTTCTCCAGCTAGCACGCTCAGTGACACTGATCCTGTATTGCTCACTGGGGCAGTGTGCTGGGATCAGTGGACAGATTGACTATGTATGGCTTTGATAGCAGCCTGTGGGTAAGTGGGTGCACTGCCTGGGGTGACTGCTTGTGCAAACCCACATGGGTTCCCTTTCCCCTTTCAGGGATCGTTATGTTTGATCCTGTGATTCCTGCAGACCGAACCCTGATTCCTTCTCCACCGCCTCGTCCCAAAAACCCTGTGTTTGATGATGAGGAGAAATCCAAGGTACAGTGAAGCCTTAGTTCATAATCACTAATGAAAAGTGATTAGTCAGTGCGTATTTAGAATAAGGAAAGATACTAAATTCAGCGTTTGGTTTTGTGGTGGTGGTGTGGGCTTGCACAGAACTCATTGCTTTGTCTACCTGCCTACCCTGAAGTTCAAGTGAAAGCCTTCTCTGTCACTATTATGAGGTTATTCCTGGTTAAAGCACCATCCTGCTGTAGTACTAAAGGCAGAGACCATTCAACACTTAGGACCAAAACTGATATATGGGAGGAATAATGATCTTGTGTCTAAAGTCTGTGAGATTTCACAGCAAATGTCCTGTGTAGAAGCAAGAATACAGCAACTCACATAAAATAACAAAGTATAAATGACTCCTCCTGAAGTCACTGTAACTACAGCAGTTAAGCTGTGTGATAGCGGGCTGTATCTCTTTTCCTCTGAATTGTTCTCTTAGATTCCTTTCTCTGCTTCCCTTTGTCAAAGGGTCTGTATTTGCTTCCTGAATGTCCTCTTCTTGTCTTACAGCTTCTAGCCAAGCTCCTGAAAAGCAAAAACCCAGATGATTTACAAGAGGCCAACAAACTTATCAAATCCATGGTAAAAGAGGTAAGAAATTCCTGTAGGATTAGTCCCAGTTAGCAATCTGCTTTCCAGGTTTCCAGCAATTCAAACTGGTGGAGAGCTTTAGGATCATGTGAATGGTAGAACCTGCCTTCCTCAGGCTCCAGGAGCATTGTGTTAGTACATCCCATAGTTAACTTGTAGGCACTGGATGAAACTGACCACCAATGACATCCAGCCTTTTATTCTTCTTAAAACTTCTGATAGTGCTAACTTGCTTCTAGTCCCTGTGGTACCAGAATAAAGGGTTCTGTGTGATATGAACACGTTGTGATTTTGACTCTAGCTCACAACTGGGAGTTGGTTTCTCTGGTAGAGGATGGGGCAAGAAGGGGCAAGGGCTGAATACCCCTTGTTGCAATTACACTCCCATCACTCGAGATGGTATTTCATGGCAGGCTTCAGTGGAACATTGCAGTACCCCTCCTGGATACTGAGGATTGAGTCATTTGGAGTGTGTCTTCTCACAAGCAGGCTTCATGGGAACACCTTCCTGTTTGTAGAGCTCTGATGCACCCAGCCCAGGCAGTCATTAGAAACTGGAGGCCAGGAAATGACTCACTGGGATTCTGGCAAAAAGAGAGGATAGCTTCTAGACTGAAGAGGATGTGTAGGTTATTGAAGTGTTTCCATTCAAGCTCCTCTTGGCCCCAGGGCAGACTCTCCTGCATTTGTAGGTGGAATCTCAAATCCATAGGTGGACATTTTTGACTAGAGAGTTCTTGTTGCTCCTAGTAAATGTTTTGCTTCAAACTCATCTTTTCCATCAAGTGACATCAAGTGACCCAAAAAAATCAATCTTCTGGAAAGGTCAGAAAGGAACTTTTCTGGTTTTAGTGGTAGAATTATACATCAAAGTCTATTTAGTGAGACTGTTTGGAAAAGGTAATAAAATAAGCAAAGCTTCATGTGAATGGAGAGATGGTTGGTTTGTTTCTAGTTTAAAGAGACATTATTTGACACAGGTTATACCTGCTGTTGTGATACCATGGACCTCTACAGGGAACTTCACTATGTCTGTGTTTTACTCCCTGAAGGATGAGGCTCGGATTCAGAAGGTGACAAAGCGCATGCACACGCTGGAGGAAGTGAATAACAACGTGAAGCTGCTAAATGAGATGCTGGTTCATTACAGCAAAGAGGAATCATCGGAGGCCGATAGGGAGCTCATGAAGGTGGGTCTGAGCTGCTCCTGGAGTCAGCCCTTTTCTTCTGACAGACTTGAGGTTTGCAAAGAATTACAAAGAGCACAGTAAACCAGAGGGCAATGGTGAGAAACAAGAGCAGGAAATAGCAGGAAAGGAAAGAACTGTTTTTAAAGCCTTTCAGCAAAGGACTCCGTGCGTAATAGTTTGGGTTTGCACATGCTTGAAGTAACGTGCAGCTGTGCTCCGAGGATGCAATGTGGCAGAATCAAGAAGCTGCAGTTTGTAATTCTTGCTGCTGTTGGGACACAGTGATTGCAGATCAGATCTGTCCCTTACGGCACTGTGGATGGATAAACTAAAAGCAGAAAATACATCCTTCCCTTGAAAGGAAGAATTTTAGTTGGTGTTAGAAGGTTGGGAGACCATCAGAAAGGTAAAAATGAAACACGCTGCCAAGGATGGTTGGACAGGCCCAGGGCCTTGAAGAGCTGTGCTTTTTAAAAGTTAAAGTGCCTCATTTTAACAGGCTTCTGAAACAGGGGTAAGAAGCTTAAGACACTGGTTTGTTTCTGTGAAACACTTCATTCTTCCCACCTTTCTTCTGTGCAGTTGCAGACTCAGTAGTGGTTACAGCACAATTGAAGCAGAATAGTTGAAGTACAGTTCTGCTCTTCCTGTGGCTGTTAGGGACTAACTGTAGTGCATGGGGTGAACATCTCTTTGGGAGTAGAGCTGGCCGTAAGTGCTGATGTGAGGGAGGGCTGGGTGATGTTGTGTTGAAATGCAGGCTCTGTTTAGATTCCCAGGCTAAGGTAATGCTTCACAGCCCTGTTAATAGGGCAGGGACAAGGATCTTGGTTGTCCAGCCACGCTGGCACAGGGAGATTGGTTCCTCTGTTCTGGGCTTTCCAGTGTGCCTGGGGAGGTATTCTGTGCTGCCTGGTATTGCTGCTGATGGCTGATGAAACCCTTTGTGCTTCTCTCTCCTCCTAGGAGCTCTGTGAAAGGTGTGAAACCAAAAGAAGGACATTATTCAAGCTGGCCAGTGAGACAGAGGATAATGACAGCAGTTTGGGTGAGCTGAGTGCCACTTCTCCTTTGCTAGTTGCTTTTGTGACCTGTGACTGTGCAAGGGTTCAGCAGCTGCTGGAAAGACACCTTCTCACTGTGATGCACTTTGCTTTGAACAAGCAGATAAAAGCCTCTTTATCCTTATCATTTCAATTCAGGCAAGGACTTGACAGTAGAGTTGATGGCTGGGGAGGCTGGGGGTGCTAATGGGGGAGAGCTGCTGCTTTGGAAGGGGAAGGGAGTTGCTGTGGGGGACAAAGCTTTGGACTCAATTTTATATTGTTACTGTAATGTGCCTGCACCTAGGAAAATCGGGGTATTGTGTGGAGAAGCAAGAGTAATGGAGCTCCTTGCCAGATAATCACGGGTTATTTTCTTGCTGGTTATTCAGTTGGTGCTCTCAGTGGGAGCAGTGTGACTGAGGTCCTGGAGGTTGTTTCTCTCTCACATGTAGGGGATATTCTGCAGGCCAGTGACAATCTATCCCGTGTGATCAATTCCTATAAGAAAATCATAGAGGGGCAAGTGCTCAATGGTGAAGTGGATCTCCCTGGGATGTCTGTAGTGGAAGGTGAGTTCCTGGGAAGCCAACTGTTGCAGGCTTGTATCCTGAATCCTAAGGCTTTTGGACAGGGTTTCCTATTGTGCTAAAGTAGAAAACTGCTGGTTCTTGTGGCCAACAGTTGGTTCAATCAGAGGAGGACAGGACAGCTCCTAAGCAGTGGATAAACAGTTCTGGATATGAACAACAGTGCTGCAGCTTTGCATTCTCCATTGCTCATTCCATATTATTGAAACCTTTGATAACAGCAGCAGCAGCAAACCTGCACCTGAACGGCTTGTGTGGCTGGAAGTTTCCGTTCATTTTCCTCTCCACATTTGTCCTTAATGGTGACATGCAAGGTGAAGATGATTTTATCAAAGGACAAGGTGGGAGCCAGGCCACATGTGCTGTTCCTGGCTTTGCCAGCAATTCCATTTGTGAATTTAGGCCAGTTGCCCATTGAAACTTCAGCTTCACCACTGAAAGCTCTGCACGTGTGCAGCCGAATTACCTTTGGGGAGTCAGTTAAACTGGATGGAGAGCAGCAGAGGAATGCATAATGCTGCCTGACAGCATCTCATGGACACAAGACTCTCCTCAATAGAAAGATCCAAGAGAGTATGAGTTTTCCTCAGCTCTTGGTAGCCCTGTTTGTTGTAATTCTTTAGCATCTCCCAGAGCCTCATCTGAGCTCAAAAGGCTTTAAAACCATTACAAATTATACTACCAGAAGCACTGAGGTTGGAGCAGGTGCTGATTTTCATATAGAAGCTTCCAAGTATCTTGGTTGATTTAAGCAGCTTCTGGACAGCAGATGGTGAGGTGGAAAGCACGTGGGCTCTCTGTGTTACAAAGAGATAAAATGAGGATCTGTGTTATCTAAACCATCTCTCTGATCATTTCTTCTGTACGTTGGCTTTGCTCTGAGCCTTTTGCCTTCTCTCCTAGTAGTGCTCTTCTCCTGTCTGCTGCAGGGAGTAACTCCACCAGTAACCTCAACACCCTCATTGACCTGGCTGGACTGGATGTCAGCAGCACCCCACAACCTCCACTGCCAGCCAGCACCCTGACACCAGCCCCCCCAGCCGAAATCCCCATCCTCCCACCTCCTCCCCAGGCATCTGCACCCCTGAGGAGCAGCTCCTCTGGCCAAGTGGAAGCTGCACCCGCTCAGCAGAGCAGCAGCTCCCTCTCCTTGCTGGATGAGGAGCTGCTGTGCTTAGGTAAGACACTGAAGGGCCCACAAAAGGGCTACTCGATCCGTGCCTGACAAAGACTGCTTTCTTCCCTCTGCATGAGTGAGGGCTGGCTGTGTGTGGCGTGCCAAAAAGGAGCATGAGATGCCTTTGGTTTCTAGAGACATCCAGGGCACATTCCCTTGCATCATCCCTGGTATAAGGCCAGGTCATTGAGTCAGGACTAAAAACTCTGATCTTCCCAGGCTCAGCTGCATGTGAAGCAACTTAAGTGTAATTGCAGTTGGTCCCTGTAGGTGCTTGGACATGCAGTTTGGTACAGGTTTCACGCCTGTACCAAAGAGTGCTAAAGAACAAGGTGCCTTAGAGGGGTTGTGTGTAGGAGCCTGCAGAACACCTGCCTGTGGAGCCCAGATAGGAACAGCAGAAGACACTGCAAATCAGGGTTAGAAGAGCACAGGGGGTGGCTGTCAGCTACTGGTGCTGTTAGTCTCTTCCTCATCATAGACTTGCAGCCCATTTCAGCCTTTCCTCAAGTTCTTGGGCTGTGGCAGAGCTGAATCGAGTGGTTTGATGGTACTGAAACAGTTACCAAGGGGTGACACCTCACTCATGTCCTCCTCCTCCAGTCACCTACTTACTGTTTTCCTTTCAGGCCTGAATGACCCTGCCCCTGCAGCAGCAAAAGAGACCTCAGAAAACAACCAGTGGAGCATGTTTGAGGTACAAAGGAGGGTCTGGGGCAAAGGGGAGGGATTGTCATTGTGGGAGATCTCGGAACTCACTGTGTCACCTTGAGAAGCATCAGAACAAGCACACAGGCAGAGGGGCAGCTGTTCCTGAGGGGAAGTCTGGCTTAGCCCTAAAATCTGGGATAGCTGTGTGTTAAACAGAGTAGATATCCCTGAACCTGGCTTTCTCAGTTCCCCATCTGTCCCCCATGATGTTAGCACTTCCTTTGCTTAAATTACAGATCAGATGTAGCCCTGACATAGGCCACAGACTTTGCTGCTTGCCACCCAGCACCTGTGTTTGCGGTAAATCTATCTCCCTCTGTAACACCTCCACAGCAGGCGGTAGCAGCGAGTTAGAGCATCTCCTTGTCCTCTCTTTCAGAATGACCAGCTGGACCTGGATTTCTTTAACCCGAAGATGGTGACTGTTGCTTGCAACCCTGCAGGGAACCCTCTTCTCCATCACACATCCCAGACCACGTGTGGAACGTCAGTGACGCTGCCCTCTGCTTTCACAGCCTCTCAGGCTGCTCCCAGCATCCCAGCACCGAACTCGGCACCGTTTGTATTCCCAGCTGGACCAGCTGCCCCTGTGGGGCCTCCTAAGACTGTTCCAGCTGCTCCTGGGTACTTCAGCTCGTCTGTGGGGAGCAGTATGTCCCATAAGATGGATGCATTGGGACAACTCCTTGAAGAAGCCAAAGGGTAACCAAAAATCCTGGACTTTGCTTTGTCTCTGCACTTGGAAAGCCAAGGTTGCTGCAGGTTCAGAGGCAGACTCTGAACTCTCTGTTCGGGTAGAAATGTGTGATTGGGATTTGTCTTCTCAGAGGGTTTCAGTTTACAGACTGATAGGAGGGTCCCACCTCTGGGAAGGAAGGGCAGGCACCACTAGGGAGAGCACAGCACCCTTGCTCTGGCCTGAAACAAATGAGTGCGGTGTGAGGTACAGAGGCTTTGACCTTCTTAGCCTTGCCAGCCTTTGCTATGGTGGGACTCTGCTTCCTTCTCGACTTACACAAGTGATGCTTGACCCTACCACCATGGCTTCCCTTGTAGCTCTCCTCCTACCACCATGGCTTCCCTTGTAGCTCTCCTCCTTACATGGGACTGGACTGAGTGACAGACTGCAGTCTGGCTTCAGGCCACTGCTGTGTCCTTGAGATCTGCTGTTACCTCCGGGTTTGTGGTGAAATTCCTGCTTCACTTCCAGCTCCATTTCCCATGTTTTCCTGTCTCTCTTGCAGGACTGCCACCCAAGGCATGGTGACACCCTCAGTGTTCCCTGGGGCTGCTTTGCCAACCACTGTCACCTCTGCCCCATTGATAGCACCTGCAGGGCTGCCAGCCACTGCCCCTGCGGGCCCTCCAGTTCCCTTCCCAAGCAGCTGCCCTGCTGGCTCAGGAAGCCCTCTCTTCCAGCCAGCATCATTCCAGCAGCAAGGCAGTCCCGTGAAAGCACCTGAGATTTCCTTGGCCAATGTCCACGTTCCTTTGGAATCCATCAAACCCAGTGAGTATTTTGGGATTTTCACCTTTCTGTGAACATTCCTGAAAAGCAAAGTTTCTTCCCAAAGCTCATGAAGTAGAGAAAGGCTGAGGTGTCCCAGCTGAACACTCAGAGTGCCTGATGCTGCTACAGGTCACATCCTGCACAGTAAACCTGCATTCCTGTCCCCTTCCTCCCTGTGGCAGGCAGTGCCCTCCCAGTGACAGCCTACGACAAGAACGGCTTCCGGATCCTCTTCCACTTTGCCCGGGAATGCCCGCCGGGAAGGTCGGATGTGCTGGTGGTGGTGGTCTCCATGCTGAACACGGCACCGCTCCCTGTGAAGAACATCGTGCTCCAGGCTGCTGTGCCAAAGGTAGGGATGGGGCCAAACCCACAACAACGTGAAACTGCTTTTGGGAAGGCCTGGATGTGAACTTGGGAGTTGGGGCAGCCTGGTTCTCCTTTCTATAGGCTGTGCTCTGCCTGTTCCCAGAACACACAGGTGGTTGTCAGAGGCAGAAAACACTGAGAAGGATAAGTCAAGCACTGCAGGCAGTGTTCTGTTTTAGTTGCTGTCTAGGATCAATCCAGCTGTGTGTGTTCATGGAGGCGGCTCAGACAGACGGTTACGTGGAAAGAGCCACCCTTCAGGTCTTCAGGACCAGTTTTTAAGACATCCTCAATCTGCAGTGTGTTCCGTTCTGGTCTTAGGCACCTGGATAATTTGGGATGGGCAGCTTTGTGTTTTGGAAACTGGCTCAATCTCAGCTGTGACCTGCTGCTGTCAGGAAGGTGCTCACATTAAAACCTCTGGCAAAGAGCACGCAGATGAAGGTGCTGTTGGTGTTCACCTGACCAATGCTTTTACTCCGGGCTGACTTCTCAGTACCTGTTCCAGTCATGCAGGAACATGTTCCTGTCACGTAGGGGTGGCTCTTGTTTCCTCAGCCTCACGCGTGGATTGATTCCCTTCAGTCTGACGTGTGCTGTTACCTCCCCAGCCTGTGCAAGCATCTCTCCCTGTCCCCAGAGCAGGAGATAATCCCTGAGGTTCCTCTTTCTTTTTCACTTGCAGTCCATGAAAGTGAAGCTCCAGCCGCCCTCTGGCACGGAGCTGTGTCCATTCAATCCCATCCAGCCGCCTGCTGCCATCACCCAAGTGATGCTCCTGGCAAACCCTGCGAAGGTGAGCGGGGCAGTGGGGTTTATCCTGTCGGGTTTGATGTAAGCTGGATTCTGGGGGGATGGGGGGGGTGTTGGACTGAACATCTGGGCAGATGCAGCTGTTTGTAACCTGCCCTCCAGAGGTGGTTACTGCATAACGCTGGGGTCTGAATTCAGGGCTGGAGGGAGGCTCTTCCCCAGCAGACTGCGTCAGTGAGGAGAGCCTCAAGAAGGACCTTTCTCTCAGCAAAAGCATTACAGACATACAAGGCTCAGCTTTAAGAGGTGGCAGTTGGAGCTGTACAAGGACTTTGACTCCCTTGTGCACTGGAAGTGTCTGGCTTTGCTGGTGCTGGTGCTGTAGGTGTACTTTTGCCGTGTTGAGGCTGTAGCCTGATGGACCTGAACCACCAGACAGATGTCAGATCTGTTCCCTTGTTCTGTGGGGATGTCCCTGTGACCAGTGAAACAACGTGGTCAGCACTTCCTTTTCTGCTGACGGTGCTGGGAGCACCTGAGCAGCTGCTTGTCCTTGCTCTGGTGACTCATTTAAGTAGCCCACTCCCTGAAGCTCAGAGCTGTGTGCAGGGTTAGCACAGATGTACTCATCTGCATGGTGCTACTTGAGAACTAAAGCAAAAGGGTCCTTAAAGAACCAGCTGAAAGCTTTGAGGATAAATGTCAGAGGGGTTTGGTGGGAAGATGAACAACACTGTGGGGTGCAGGGTGATCCCCTCGCTGAAGGACTGGCTCCATCTCCTGCTTGCTGTCTCACTCGGAGGTTTGCAGAGCAGGAATTACTTCATCTTCCTCCACATGATGAGGAATTTAATCTGGAAAGTGCTGAACGATTCCAGCAGCATTCCTCAGGCTCAGTGGTGCTGGCCACGTGTGTGCAAACAGGTCATTCCTGCTGCTCCATGATAAGCAATAAAGCTTTTATGGCATAAAAACTGTAAGGGAAATAGGTGAAGAGCTGTACTTCATGGGCTTCAGCAAGGCCCTCTTCCCCCCGCTGTGTGCTGCAGCACTCTGATGCTCTCCATAGAGCTGTAACAGTGTTTGCTCAGGAGCTGTTCTCATGTTGCTCTTGGGTTTTGTCTCACCTGCAGGAGAAAGTGAGGCTCAGATACAGACTGACCTTCACGCTGGGAGACCAGCCCAGCACAGAGGTGGGCGAAGTGGATCAGTTTCCCCCCGTAGAGCAGTGGGGGAACCTATGACCTTGGGCCACTGCCAGAGACTGTGACAGGACCAGGAGAGGCTCCCGCAGGACTGGAATGGCTGTGGCGCGGCGAGGGACACGCGTGCTATCCACTGGTGATGCTCAGCTTTGTTTACATGTCCTGACCACTCTGCTTGTAGCTTTAGTCCAGAATGTTTTGCCCCGCGTTGGAGGGGTCCTGGAACATTGATGCCAAGCATGGACTGAAGTGGCAGCTGGTAGCAGGCAGTGCTGGCTGCTTTCATCTTGACCTCGGGGTGAGTCTGGTTCTCCCTTCCACTCCATTAAACTTGAAGCTATTGTATGAGCTGTCAGCAGAGCGGGATTTAGTTGGCTCGTTCCTGTACTGCTGTCCAGAGATACCACAGGCTGGTGGGGTGATGATGCCGGGAGCTTCCTCAGTGCAGAGCCCTTACACACGCCCTCCCTCGGACTCTCACCTCCTCAGTGCCACATGGACCCGCTGCACATGTGGAGCAATAACGCTGGATCCGTGAGGGAATGCTGATTTTTTACACTGGAATGGCACTTAAATCCCTTCCTCCCCCTCTGCTGCTTCACTCCCAACAGCCAACATAAGCAGCCCCTCGCTCTGTGCTGTGTGCTGCTGCTCTGTCTTTAGTTGGTCTGTATTTGATTTGCTGCCTCCCTTCTGTATCACTCGGGGCAGCTGAGGTTTGGATGCAGGTGGTTACATTGGCTCATGCCTTCATCGCATTCCCTAATGTGGGAGAAGAGGAACTGTGTAGTGAGGAGGTAAACAGGGCTGGGATGGAGGGCTCAGTGTTGGTGGAGGACAGAACCCAGCGTGCAGGAACGTCTTTACAATCACTACAATCAGGTGCAGCGACTGAATCCAGGGATCAGGAGATGCCTCTCGTGTCCCCTCGTGCGGGCAGTATTATTATTGTAGTTGAATACTGTGTTTTATTGAGCTGAGTACAATGACATACAAGATGTAAATAATAGAGCTATAGGATATCTAAATAGGAACAAGCAGGCAGTGAATGGAAGGCAGCTCCTCTGGGCTGGGACAGTGCATGTGTGGGGTTTGATGCCCTGTTAATGTATTAAGTAAGTGGCCAAGTGCAATTGTCTCTGCAAGTGGAAGCAGTTTTGCTGGACGTTGGTGTTGTGTGCTAACGGGGCAGAATCAGAGTCACAGAATGGTTTGGGTTGGAAGGGACCTTAAAGCTCATTCAGTTCCAACCCCCTGCCATGGGCAGTGACACCTTCCACTAGAGCAGGTAGAAAAGCCAACCCCTTCCACTACAGAAGCAAGATTTCAGTCACAAAGATGTGATTCCAGCAGTCCCTTCCTCTTCCATGTCCAGTCTCCAGCAGTGTCCCAGTGAGCTTTGAGACTGGTTCAGAGTAAAGGGGTTTTTAACGTGCACAGGTAGGGCAGGTCCTTGCACAATGCTCAGTGCCACCAGGCAGCGGCTCTTACTAGGGCAGGGTGGGAGCTGTCAGCTGAAGCAATGGAGGAGACCCCTGCCTGAGACAGAACTGGAGGAGAAGGGGCTGCTGTAAACCCCATGGCTGCACATGCAGCTGCATTTCCTTTCCTTTACTGTGCTGTAAAGTAAAATCACTGGAGGGGAAAAACTCGGTGGATTTGAAGGTCTGAGGGCCCTGATCAGGGGAGGCACCAGTTGGGAGAAACCCCTGAAGGATGGATCAAAGCTCAGCCAAGGAACTTGCTGTAAATGCCTGGGCGGAAGCTCGGGTTGTTGGATGCCTAAAGAGCAGTTTTAACCCGATGGACTGGGCTAGGGGACAAGGAGAGAATTCTTTGTGCCTCAGCCAGCACTTTAGACACAGCAGGCACAGGGTGGTCCTTAGGAGGTGGCAGCGTGTCCTGAGGCAGGTTTCACTGCTGGGGACGCAGGGTGAGTCTCGCTGTGACTCTGGGGAGGTCAGAGGAGCACAGGGGCTCCCTGCAGCCTGGCTTTGTTCTGTGCAGCCAGACAGAGAGAGGCTTCCAGAGTCCTGCTGTGTGGAAACGTGTTGTTATAAGCTTTGGAAAAGAAACCTCTGAATGTTCCTTGTCTGTAGGGTGAGGTTCCTGCTCACCCCCACAGCTGTAACTGTACATACATCTCCAATGCATTCGATCTGCTGCATGTGAAATAAAACTGATTTCCCTACTTTGCTCTGTGGGTCACCCTTACTGGTGAGTGCTGCTGCGGTCCGTGCTGCTTGTGGGGAGCCTAAAACTCAACCCATTGTCTCAAGGCCATCCAAACTAAGGGGAAATGGAGAAGTTGCTGTTTCCTAAACCCCCCTTGTCTTTAAAGGTGGGCCTGGTGTCAGCTCTGGGCACTGGAGCAAAGCAATTGGAAAAGCCAAGGTAACACAACACTGCTTGGTGGTGGGGCTGACTTCAGGGGGAGGGCTGGCAGCTGGAACAAACACCCTCAGCCTTTTGAGGCAGCTCCTTCTTAGAAGCTGTGTCTATGGCAGCCAAGAGCAAACCTCAGCAATATGCAAAACAAGGCATTTATTCTTAGAAAAGCACTTGGGTTTATGTACAGTGAACCACAGCGGAAGAACAAAATCGCACTGACTTCAGGATGCTTCCAGCGTGCCTTCCTTGACGATGACTCGTGCAAGGTTCCGTGCAAGAGCAAGTCTCAGCATTTCCACTTTCATCGTCTCAACGCTGTCCTCCTGGAAGTGAGCAGAGCTGGGGTTAGGCTGCTGCAGACAGCAGTGAGCTGGGGACGGGCTCTCCATGGGTCTTGGACATTCAGAGAGTGAGCGCAAGTATCTACCTGTTAAAGGGAACCCCCCAGAAGAGGCAGAGCTGCATTTCCTACTTTCTAGATCACACAGGCAGCACTACAAAGCCTTTTCCTGGCAGCTGCATGAGCAGCAAATGCTTCCTGTGCTGCACCTGGAACCTTCCACAGCTCGAGCTGTTTGGTAGCAGCATCTCCACTTTGCATTGCCCATGTCACGTGCACTTACTTACCTTGGAAAAGCATCCCAGTCCAATCCAGCTCCAGCAGAACAGGGAGGAGCAGAAGTGCTCCAGCACTGGGTTTGTGTCTATGGAAATCCCATTTGACTGGCCTTAACTCGGGCTCTCCCCCTTCTGCCCTCGCACAGGAACGTAAATGCTGTGTGACCCTGGCCCTCCCCATCAAACCATGATCCAGCTGTCCTCAGAGCAGGAGGTACCTGGAATTTCTGCTTGTCCGACTTCCCTGCTGTCAGGTCTTCCAGGCACCGCATCAACTCGTACGTCTGCTCTGCTGAAAATATGACCTGTGGGAAGGGAAGCATTTACTGAAAGGGATGGAGTTTGGGGACATCACGCAACGAGAACTCAGCTGAGAGCAAGAGAACGCTCCCACACTCCCTCGGATCCATCCTGACCCTTTAAACCAGGATAATTCAGGCTGGAAGTGACTCTGGGAGGTCTCTAGTGCCACCTCCTGCACAAAGCAGGGTCAGCTCTGAGGTCAGAGCGGGTACTCTGGGCTCTACCCAGCCATGGGTCTGCAATTGCTCAGCTGTCATTTTCTTGATAATGAAGTACAGAAGAAGGGTGTAGAAGAAGGGAGCACCAGAACAACCTTCAAGCCAAGTACCGAGAGGAGCTGCATGTGCTGTGTACTCCAACGGATCCCACTGCTGCTTTCTAAAGGCAGGGAATCAGGTTAAGAGTGGCTTGTTCTGTCCTGGCTCCTGTGTGCTCCCACTGATGGCACCCTTGGGTGATCTGCAGTCCTGGAAGAGCTCTTTTACACTGGAGATGCACCTCCAGGCTGGGGTGTGGGGAGAAAGGGGGTCACCACTTTGAGATCCCCCGTCAGGAAGGAAGGAAAGAGCCATGGGGTGGGGTTTGCTGTGTGTGACCAGCTGCTCACCTCTTTCTGCTCCAGCAGGGGAAGGGCATCTGTCAGCAGGGTCATCCAGAAGGAGCAGGGAGCGATGTGAGCTGTCATCAGCATCAAGAGCAGCCTGGCAGCCTCCGAGAACCGCTTCTCCCCGTAGAGCCGGTGGAATTCCCGGTACTTGCCTGCACACGGGTGTTGGGGAGGGGGAAAAGGAGTCAGTGTCTGTCAGACCCGGAGGTGGAACCACCCCCAGCTGAGACTCCAAAGCAGCCGGGTCAGGGGGAAGGGGAATGCTGTTAAAACAGGGGCTGGGTGAAAAGGCAGCCAAAAGCCTGTGACTGTGCTGGTAGGATTCACTGACTGAGCCAGGCTGGTCACTCACTGGTGCTGTCTGGTGCTGGGTGTTCACTGGGCAACAGCATGAGTGGCTCAGAGACACTGGTATCATCTGAAGAAACCAGGAACAGGAGGGGAGAGGCAGGGGGTAACTGTTCCCTTTGCCACCATAGAAATGGGGAGGTCTGAACGCCTGCACTGTCTTCCCAAGTGGATCAATGAAACTGAGATCTTTGTTAATGTGGAGAGTTCTGGTTTTGCTAAGAATCAGTTAGATCAGTACTAAGATCAGTTAGATCAGTACTAAGATCAGTTAGATCAGTACTTACTAAGATCAGTTAGATCAGTACTAAGATCGGTTAGATCAGTACTAAGATCGGTTAGATCAGTACTAAGATCAGTTAGATCAGTACTAAGATCAGTTAGATCAGTACTTACTAAGATCAGTTAGATCAGTACTAACTAAAATCAGTTAGATCAGTACTTACTAAGATCAGTTAGATCAGTACTTACTAAGATCAGTTAGATCAGTACTTACTAAGATCAGTTAGATCAGTACTTACTAAAATCAGTTAGATCAGTACTAACTAAAATCAGTTAGATCAGTACTTACTAAGATCAGTTAGATCAGTACTTACTAAGATCAGTCAGATCAGTACTAAGATCAGATCAGTACTAACTAAGATCAGTTAGATCAGTACTGAGATCAGTTAGATCAGTACTAAGATCAGTCAGATCAGTACTAACTAAGATCAGTTAGATCAGTACTAACTAAGATCAGTTAGATCAGTACTAACTAAGATCAGTTAGATCAGTACTAACTAAGATCAGTTAGATCAGTAGGTGAGAACTGCCTGAGGATGAAAGTGAGGTTTATTCTGTGGCTTTGTTTGTACCCACACACTGCAGCAGTGATTCCCACTCAGATCCCCTTCAACTACTGCTTCAAGCTCAAGCTCGAGACATGTGAAAGCTGTCCAGCAAAAGAACACTTGATGCTCCTAAAACTCCCAGCAGGAATATTTTCAGGCCTTTCAGGATGTTTTATCAACAGCACAAAGGGGATTTCTCTCAACCACAGTTTCTAAGCACAGCTTCACGATTAAGCTGTGAATCTTTGGGGCTGGTGACACTGGGCACACAGGGATGTGACCCATTTGCCAAGTCACAGTCAGCTTCTAGGCTTAATTTAGGATCAGGTTTAAAGGAGGGAAATACAGTTCCAGTTTTGCAATCTTGGAGCAAACAGGAACCGATCAAATTCAGGATCACCCTCACTGCAGTGCTGGTGTCAGCCAGGAGTCAGCCCAGCTGCCAACAGCTATTGCAAACTGGTTAGGTTTTAGCCCCAGTGATTGTGCTCCCTAATGGGCAGCTCCAGAGAAAGGTGCCTTTTGGCTCCATTTCCTGTCTCACCCCATCAATCAGAGGCCCCAGAGCAGCTGCAGCCAGGTCACCACAGCCCGAAACCGCTGTTACTGGGCACAACTGCCACAGCAAAAGGGTGGAAGAGAGCTTAAGTTTGAATGAGCTTCGCCTTGGCACATGGAACCAAGAGAGTTTGAGAGTCTGGACAACCTTCTGAAGTCAGTAACATCATCACGTTGTCAAGATCACTTGAACCACTTGTTTCTCTGCCATGGAAGCCGCTTCAGGTCTTCCAGACCACATCTGTTGGTGCTTCAGAGGCTCTCTAGGTAGTGATACTGGCTTGAAACAGACTGTCCTGCTCAAAGCAGTGCAGGACAGATGCTGCTGTGAGCACAGCTGAAAGAGCAGTCTCCTGGTAGTGATCATGCTGCATCCCCATCACCTTCAGCCATTTGCTTTCCCCTCATCACTAAACCAGGATGTAGCCAGATGGAGGAAGAGCCAAATCCAAGTGACCCTGTGGAGTTACCTGTGTTCTAAGTAACAGCCCGGAATGAAAACTGTGCATGTCTCACCAAGAAACGTCAGTCGGTCACTGAGCAGCATGGATGGTCCCAGGTTATCAATGAGGTCCAGGTCAGAGAAGCTCCCCCTTTCACAGTAATCCTTAAGGAAGCTGGGGAGAGTATAAAACACAACAAAAGCTTAGAGGGAGGAACATCATCCACGTTAGCTTTCTATCTCCTAATCCCTTCCCAGAACACTTCACTGTACTGAGCTCCACCTCAATCAGCCCCTTGTGAGGGTTTCAAAAGGCATCAAAACATTTCCTGGAAGTGGCCAGTGAATAAATTGGCCACTCAATTTATTCTGGGTTTTATGGGAGTTGAGATGTGCTCTTTGAAAGGAGTGAGTGAAGGAGGGAGCACAGGAAGCTGAGGCTGGCGGGTGCATAAATAACTCTTCCCAGATCATAACAAAAAGCCCTGGTTTTCTGCTGTGTGAAAATGCTGATAAGCAGCAGGAACAAAACAATTCTAAAAGCTTCTCATCTGTTCTGCTGCAGCCTTCATGATGTTGCTTTTTGCAGAGCTGCTTCCTGGGATGGTTTCCTTTCACCTTCTGTTGAAAGGAACAGAGCAATTGAAACAACCCCAAACTAAACCCCCAGCCCAGCAGTCTCTTACTCCCTGTTCTCACTGCTGAGGACAGGGTTGCCCGGCCACCCATCCAAGGTGTAATTTCAGTACCGGACTCAAACCATGCTGCCCATTTCCATTAGCAAAAAAATACATGACATGGATTGTGAGGGCATGAAAAGCTTAAGATTTGCCAGAGCTTTTGCCCAGGCCTTATCAGCGTCCTCTTCAGGTTTATAACATTCCCCCCCTCCAAGGTCAGATGTTGTGACGAGCTTGAGCAACACCAGGGACACGACAGAACTTCACTCCCTGGGGGTTGAGATTCTTTGCAGAAATGGTGGCTCAGGTGACTCCCATTGACTTGTGTGGAGGTTTCCTGGTGAACTGGACTGGTTAAGAATAACCTGCTTTATAAGAATATAAAGCCCAGAAGGGGCTTACCCTCCACCCAAACCAGTTCCCTGGTGCACTGCACAGTTCATCAAACAGCCCTATCAAAGCAAGGGGAAGGGCAGTTCATGAGGTAAGAGATATTGCCCAAAAAGATGTTTACCGAAGCAAGGTCTAAGAGGCTTGCCCTGTTGGATAAAGCCAACCTGTTTCATCTCTAGACTGCATGAAGTAAAACAGTGTAGAAAAGAACCAGGCAGGGTAGTGCAGATGAGAGTACTCGGGGATGTCATTTGCTGGTCCAGAAGCAGGCACTTGCTCTGAGTGAAAGCCAGTGTCCATCTGCCTGCAGCAGCACCTGCTCTGCTCCACTGCAGTGGCTGACAGCCCTCTCCCCACCACCCTGCTCTGTCAGCATTCCTCTGGGAGCTGCTGCTCACACTCACCGGTCTGAGATGAGTGTAGCAAAAGCTGCATCTTTAGCTCTGATGCTCCAGGACAGTGCAGAGCCCAAGCGGTTATTCCGCAGCGCCTTCATGGCCATGATCTTACAGATGCTACGGACTGAGGAGGAAACACAGGAGAGCAAGGAAAGAATTAGTTCCAGAGACTTCACTTATCACTACAAAACAGTGAGATTTACAAATCAATCACCTTGCTCCTGCATCTGCCTCTGCTCGCAGATCCTCAGCACTTTGAGAGCCTTCTGTTCCGTGTTGAGGGGTATCCGTTCAATGTGAAGCTCCAAATACACTCTGCCATACTCAGGGCAGTAGTCAAAGTAATCGACCCCCAGCTGCCATAGGCTGAGAGAGGGGACAAAACCCACCATCAGGTACTCTGATCATGTACACCTTAAATGAGCACAACAGTAAAGCCACAAGGAGAATCTGGATCTGCATTAATAACAGTAAGTCAGTCAGTATTCAGACCTAAAATGGGTTCTACTTTCTACCAAATACAACTGTGGAACACCTGCAAGCTCCCAGATGCTTTGGTACAAGTTGTCCTGTACCAGGAAAGCCCCAGGACAGGAGGATTCTGCCCAGGTCAGCATGCTCCACAGGTTCTAACAAATACCTTTTGTCTTCCAGTCAGGAGAGAAAACATGCTCATGTTGCATGATCCCTTAAGGACACCTCTGCTGGGATCCAAACAGTGGCTCTGTAAGTTTTGCCTTTTTGTTTCATTAATATGGAGTTATTTGTGTTGCCTGCCTCTGTGTTAGTCTACTGCCTGAGCAAAAACAAGAGACTGGTACCTGTGGTGGGAGAAGAGTCCTGAGGCATACTCCAGCAGGAGGAATTCACGCATGTTTGAACCAAAACTGGGGAGGAGAGAGGAAAGAAACAGGAGTCATTATTTGCACCTCATTGGAAAATAACTGCTGACTTGATTTCACAAGCATTTCAATTTAAATATCATGTTTTCTCATGGGCCATTTTAATCTTCGTTCCTTGGGCCTAAGCTGCAGGTCAGCTTTCTCCTTGGGGAGACCTGCCACATAGCTACAGCACTGAGCACATAGAACTGAAAGAAAAGTGCTTTAAGAAACTGAAACCTCAAGGGAATTCAGGCAGCAAAATCCAACTGCTCAAACTTCAATTCACCCAGGATGCAATACTGGAATTCTTTTTAGGTTCGTTTCTCACCATTCTAAATAATCAACAAATATTTGGGCCCTTGGTTGTATTTCAGATAAAATGGTATTTGAGAATGCTAACACTGTACTGAGGCACTGCTGAACAGCACATCAAATTCATCAGGGCAGCAACTGCTTCTCAGAGCATCTGGGCTGCCTGTAACTTCAGAGGCACACAGAATAGTTAAGAATTGGAAGAAACCTTAAGATCCTCTAGTTCCAGCCCCCTGCCATGGATGACATGCAGCACCTTTACTCTCCGTCTTCTGTACAGGCCCAAGATGCTTCTTTTCAACCAGCATCCACATGCTGCTTCAGTCCAGTCATCTCTACTGCTGGGTGTCTGAATAATCAACGCAAAGAAATACTTACTACAGGTTGTGAGACTGCAGGAGCTTACAGTGGTCCAGCAGGTCAGTCAGATGAGCCACAAACCACCAGTTGCTCAGGGCAATGCTGTATTTGAAACAAGGAAAAGAAAGATAAAACTAAGCCTACGGCTGCCAAGGAATGTGTCACGTTTTCCACAGGCATTTCATCCCAATACAGAGGCTGTATTCCAGCATGATGTCTGGTTGCAATGTCCCAGACCTAATGGAATACTTGTAATTGCTGCCTGCTTCATGTACTTTTGCTAAATCCTTGGAAAGGAGGATGAGGTGGCTGTACCCATATCCTCTACCACAAATCCTACTGCAGTAAATGCACACAGTAGGAATACCTTAGAACCAGAGAATCAAAAACCTTAGAACTCCACCTGCATTCCTTGATCACTTGATGAATCTCAAATTCAAAGGCTGCCATTAAAATCGTGTCTAGAGGCTCAGGGCTGCATTCTCCTCCCAGGAACAGGTCCATGCTAGACTGTGGAATGAGATTACAAGACATGATAAATGCTGAATTTGTGAGATGGTAAAAGAAGACATTTGGTTCGATGTAATAGCCTTGTTTTGGTTATTTTATGGGAAATAACAGGTCACAGAGACTGAACACATTAACAAAAACAAGGTTTTTTTTCCCCTCATTTTAACATAAGGAAACTGGAAAAGCAATTTGCAGGAAGAAGACTGGTGACAGCAGCCACTGAAGAGAGTGGGTCTTCAACAATTATTTGCCCACTGTATCAGTCTCCTGACCCACTTCAGATTCTAGGGAACACTTGACAGGTACGCAGCTGTAGGGTATCAACCCTCCCAAAGGTTTCTGTAAGTCAGTAACCCATGTGTGTGTGTGAAACAGAGGAGAATATCCAGGTAATTCTATTTCATGCCTGTGCATAAAACCGCAGCTCCATCGGCTTCACCGTTGGGTGGGAATACAGGAGTCGGGTAACCAGGAAGTGGTACCAGGTGGTCATGAGTTCCTTCTTCTCCAGTATGGCATCCTCATCTCCCAGCAGGATCTAACAGGAAAGAGACACAGGAGTGATTCTCCAAATCCAGCACTGCACACAGCCGCGCTGGAACTCTTTAGAAGCATTACTCCCAGTTTGCAAAGTTTTAATCAAAATGAAATAACAAATGACAAAGATCCTTCTCAGAGCCCAGTTTCCCCATCAGCCCCATGGCCTTGGGCACGAAAAGAAAATGATCTGCCCAGTCCTGCAAAAGCTGCTGCAAAACAAAGAACACAGAAGACTGGCCTGAAAGCTCCTGACTTAATGCACAGATCATCCTGCATATTCAAGTTGTCTACACACGGTTCCTGAAGTACACAAGAGCCTGATCTGATACTTGTCTGGTTTCTCTCATTCCCAGCAAAAACACACCTTGCAGATGGATTCCATGTGGGAATTGGAAGCAAAAGTTCCATCCTGTAGATACCGCTGACATTCTTCATGCCAGTGCTGCCATTTCAGCTCCATCTCGGTCAGTGTCTGGGTGTTGTTAAGCTGAACAGAGAGGAAAACACCAAGTCAACTCACAGCAGATGCTTAGGGCTGAAATCAATCAGTTGTGATAAAAAGCTAAATCCATTTTTGCACTGTCCTACAGTTTTATTTGAAATGTCTTACTTTACCCATCTGAATAAGGCAAAGGGGAGCCTGTGAGAGGTTACTGTGATGCAGCTGCAGTTTTTCCTCCAAAAGGAAATCACTGCAACAGAGGGAAACTGCTGGAAAAGCCTTCAGAGAATATTCTGTACAAGGGAATAGTTCTCACCAGGATGTTTCAGACACCTGGATAATGGATTCTGCTGCAAAATGATTTTCCTATGTTGGTTTGTCACCTATCAAACTTTTCTCGGGATGGTTGGGTCTTTAGGGCAACTCAAGAACACAAATATTGTTACTGTAAAGGATTAAGACTGAGATGTTTTAGTGGTGAACATACTATACTGTAACAGGAGCCACATGAGAGCAGTTCTCTTTACCCAATGGAATAGCATGATAACAATCCTCTTTATACATACACTGGGCACAGGCATCTTCTTCATCAAGTCATCCAGGATTCTGTACATGTGCATTGATGTGGGATTGGCACTGGCTTCCTTGGAGAGCAAGTGCCGTGCTTCATCCATTCGGCCTTGCAGCACAAAGACATCCACCTGCAAAAAGAACCTGTCTGTGAGTACCACACTGGGCTGGAAAACACCCAGGAGAGTGTCAGAGCTCACTTGTGAGTTAAGTGGAGTTAAATGCTTAAACTCTAGGCCCTGCTAATTCAAGTACACAGTGTCTTGACCTCCGTAGAGGATGAAAATGAAAGGATGAGGATGGGGACGATCTTCAGAATGGCTTCATCTTAAAAGCTATGGTGGTAGACAGCAGCATCCTAGGAATCAGCTTTTAGAGATCATCTAGTGCTGAGTAGGGAAGAGGAAGGTAAAGCACACAGGCTGGGTGGGACTGTACTCACCACATTCCAGAAGAGCTCGTGTTTCGATGGATCTTCACTGCTCAGAACTTCACGGACCATGTTGTCCACATCACAGACATGAAGTCGAACCCAGTCGAGGAGGCGAAGCAGGAGGGGGCCAGCTTTGTGCAGAAAAGATTGCATTGTTAGTTCCCAAGTGTCTGTTCCCAAGCTGCTATCTTACGTGCTTCTAACCCTAGTGGCTTGACAATCACTACCTGAGGTTTACTGACTGGATTTCTACCTGCCATAGTCAAATTACAAAGGCTCAGAGCTCCTCAGCTGTGAGCACTGAGGCTGTGGGAGCGCCAGGCTGCTGACAGAATTGCATGTGGCAAATCAGAACAGCACCACAGTCCAGGAGAAAACCCTAACCAGAAACTTGAAGAAATAAAAGGTAAGTGATTCAGATCATAAATCTTGCAATGCCAAAGGACACAAAGAATGTTCCTGTTTAATTTAGCATCAGTTCGTTATTCTTAACTGAATATAAGGAAGAAATCTGGCACTTTCTGGTTAACTTTTCTTCAGATGAAGTAATCTACAATGTGTGAGTCTCTCTTCTGACTTCTGGGACTGTGCAAGTAGAGTATTTGTTTGCAGAATCCCATTTCCTTCATATTTACTACTTTCAATTGCCAATGTAAAACTGATTTCAGAAACGACATCTAAAGTTAGAGTTGCAGCAGAGTAAATGTTAGTTGACATCAATATATTTGATGCTTAAAGACGTGTTTCTGCTTCAAAGTCAAATAATCTGGCAACAAATTTTGTTATCCCTCTTTTTCCCTACCTGTCAAAAAGAGAATTTACATTGTAGTGCACTACACAAGGGGAAAAGGAGGGAGTCAAATCTAATAGCTTGATATAACTCAATATGAAGAAGGTAATTTAGTGAGGCAGAAGAGGTATTAAAAGGCTTACTGACAAGTGTCATATCTCTAAAACATATTAAAATATGACCCAATAGATGCTATATATATTTTAAACAAATAAATATGCAAACCAAAAGCCCTTCAGTCTTTAATGTCAGGTAGTTCACTGCTCACCTGCAGCTGCTTCAACAAACAGAATCTCACACAGGTTCCAGATCAGCTCCATCGCAGACAGGATGGAAACCTGTAGGATGAAAAAAGCAGGGCCATGTGTCAGATCCAGTCATTATTCCAGTTGTTGGGAATAACATCACGCAAAGACATCTGCTGTCTGTAGCAGTCAGGTAAGCTCAGTTTTTACAGACAAGAGAAATGTCATATTGACATTTCAGAGATACATTATCAAAAGGCAGCAACAGGCCACAACTTGGCTACACAGATTCAGCTTAGAAACTACTGCCACTGTCTGTGTACTGAACTGCAGTGACGATCCATCACCAGTGGGCAAGACTGAGTAGTACAGTGGTACACAGGAAGTGTTATTTTCAGCCTTTTTGCACTCCTAAGATTTAATACAAACAGCAAAGAAAGGCCAATGAAGCAACATCACTGCAGCTACCAGGACAAAGCTACTGTAAGCACTGCTCTTCCTATACACTCATAGTGAACATCTGGAGCTTGCCATGAAGCCTATTGGAACTTGTATGTTTGAGGGGTGAAGTTTCGGAGAGCTAAGTACTGGCTCACAGCTGACTTTAAGAGACCAGAAAACATCACCCCTATAACACTGGATATGTGCTCAAGAAACGGAAGTGAATTGAGATGTTGGGCTCTTTTTTTTTGTTCTAGAAATAAAGGGGCTAACTATTCCCATTTATTCTTGGTCACAAACTGCATCCAATATACTAAACCTGAATTGAATCTGCCACAGTGTTGGCCTCCTTGATGGATTTAATAGCCAGGATTAATACTCTAGTGTGACTACACGACATTACCTGGGTGCTGTACTGGTTTTGCAGGGCAGGGTCCCGGGCTGAAACTGAGGGAGGAACAAAGAAAGTCAAAGTGTGAGAGATTTACCTTTCACAGCCCTTTCTGGGCTCACAAATGAAGACAACAATATGTGATCACTCACCAAGCACAGACCTGAGTACTAAGTTTTATAGAAAACTTTGCTTTATAAATCCTGTGCAAATCTGGGTATGGCAATGGGGAATAGATGGAAGAGTAAAATCTCCCACTTTTTCAAGGGAGCCAGCTGTTAATTTGGACTCTGTTTCCCATATGACTATGAAAAGGCTGCAAATCCCCAGAAAATCTGTTCAAATGTGGTACAAAAATATAAATCTCTGACCAGATTTACAAAGTTGGAAATCTGGATGGAGATTTCATTTTACAGTAGTTGTGACAACTCACAATTGAAATGCTACTTTATAATCCCAGGTAGCATTTCCTTTTATTGCTGTAAGAGAACAAACTTACCAGCCGCCTGGTGCATGTCCTCCATGCAGGCTCTGATCACCGAGCGGTAGTTTTTACTCACTTGAACCAAACTGCCAAACACAGAAAGGCTTCAGTTAGAAAGTGCTGTTTGAGTTTTAGCCTCGTGCCTGTTGACAACTAAAGCTTTGCAAGTTCCTCTGCAGCGGCAGACGCTCCCAGTACTAGAGTGAATCAGTGGGGATCAGTGAGGCTGCGTGCAGTGGTTGCTGTATGCTGGGAACGCAGCACAGTTACTTGGTTTGTTACTTTGGGGTTTTTTACCCCGTAACACTCATTGTTTCTGCACTGCAGCTGAATACAGCAGCTCGGAGCAGACTGGTCAATTGCATCCCCCTCACCAGAGGCATTTCTAAGTCCCAGGCACTTTTCCCGGCTGGAGAAGGCGCAGGGAAAGCGGGTGTTTCCCTCCCTCCCTCCCTCTCCCCATCCACTCACTGCGCTTTCCTCGCCTTCCCCGCCAGCTCCTCCTCGCTCCGCTGCAGCCCGATGAAGATCCCGTGCGACTCATTGAAGAGTTTCCGCAGGGTGTGGATGTAGATGTCCTCATCCTTGCGGACCACGAAGACGCGGGACGCGCTCGCTCCTCCATCCGCGCTACCTGCAACACACGCGCTCAGCGCCGGGGCACAGGGGCCCGATCCAGCCCGCCCCGGCCGGGACCCACCTGTGCGGTCGAAGCGTGTCTCGCACACCAGCACCTCCGCGGGGCCCCAGGCGAAGCAGAGCTGCCTGGCGGACGGGTCCGCGCCCGGCACCACCTGCGAGGGGACAGCGGCACGTCAGAGCCGCCCGCACGGCCCCGCACCGCCCCGCGCCCCCCGGCCCGCACCATCAGCGGCGGCTCCGCGTCCAGCTCCTCCATGGCGGCTGCCGCGCTGCGCTCCCGACAAGGCCCCGCCGCGGCTGCCCCCGCCGCTGCCTGCGCCGCCCCGCAGCCCCGCCGCGCTCCGCCGCTTGCCCCGCGCCGCTGCCCGCCCTGGGTGAGAGCCCGGCCGGGGGAAGGGGCCCGGCGGGGATGCGCCGGCTCGGGGCAGGCGCCCACAGCTCAGCCCCGGAAGCGCCGCTGGGTCCCGAGGCCCCGCCGGGGCGGGGCGGGCTCCGGTGCCTTGGGCGCTCCCCTGAGGCCTCCGGAGCCAGCCAGGCAGGGGCTGCCCCGGAGCGCTGGAGCTGCACGGGGGGCTCCGGGCGATGGTCCCGGGCAGGGAGGCAGCGGGGGTGCCTCGGGCAGCACGGAGCGCCCCGGAACCGGGCCCGGAAAGGGAAGGGGCCGCCCCATCCCCACGTACTTCATGTTGCTGTCTGGACGGTTTCGGTGCTGGCTCTGGTGCGCAGGGATCTGGCTGGCCAGTCAGCACTGTCTTGGTGTTCACTTCATTGGCTTGACTGCCTTGTAATAACTGGTTTGTCTTCTTTATGCACTAAAGACACTCTGGGGTAAATGAGCCTCCAGGTTGTCGCAGGTGACATTCTCTCATTGATAAAGTTGAGTAATCAAGTTATGTGCTTTATGACTTAAGTGGGCTGCCTGGAGGTTGGAGAAGGTCTGTAATGAAGCATTAGATTGATGGCAGCAGATCAGGGACATACGCTGGCAGATGTGGGGAAGAACAGATCTGTTGTGCCCTGCTCACTTCCTCAGGGTCAGGAGATGTTTTCCCTTCTCTGCCTGGCAGGCTCAATACCCCCAGAGCCTGATGGACATTCTGCTAACGCTGGGAGCTCACCTATGGATGGCCTTGAACTTAAGGATCCATTAATAACTTGGTGTGGTAAAGCCCTGACCACATGCTGCTCCTTTCCTTCACTCTGCTCTTTCCCATGTCTGCACGCTCCTCACTTTTTGCTTGTTCCTCTCACTAATGAACTCATTCAGTGATCCACTGTTTTGCCCTAGCAATGCTGCCTCACTGAGCTGCCACCTGGAAGAAGGCAACAGGCCCTCAAATTGGTGCTTTAGAAAAGCTCACTATTTTCAAGATAGCTTAAATCATTTGCTGACCCCATACAACCGCAACACTCCACTGCTAAATCCCCCTTTTTTACTTTACTGGCTCCTGCATCTGTCGTTCCTAATAACAATCAAGCCAGCGGTTATCTTTGGTAACAGCACGTTGTGTTGTGTTGCCACTCATGCTGAGCAAAGGCAGTGGTGTCTGCGTGGGGCAGGCAGGAGGAATGGCTTGTTGCAGGGTAGAAGAACATAACTCTTCAGAAACCTGCTTGAGAAACTGAGACTCACGGGTTTTCAGACAGCTCATCCTTCATTGTGGGTACGAGGGCTGTGTTCTGGGGGCACGTGGGGATGTTGGGAGCTCTGTTGTACAAATTCATCTCCTGGCGTACAAAATGGTGCAGACAAATTGTATTTCTCCTTCACAAACCTGCTCCCCAAGAAGGAAACGAGGCGTGGAAACATTTCAGGAACCAACACGTGGAATTCTTTTTCCCAGAGATGGAATTTCTCTGGAATGCTCACTGTGCCGCTGCCCCATTCACTTCCCTCCATCTGCAGGCATTGAAGAGGAGGAGCTCAGAGGGACAAAAAAGCTTTGCCTTTTGCTCCCCTCTGCTGCAGCCTGGATCCTGCAGGACCAGGTCTTTTGTATTTCCCAGCGTGGCTTCTCCCCTGCTGTGCCCTTCTGGCCAGTTCTCTGGGGATTTTAGCACTTAACTGGTAGCTCCATCGAGTCTCCTGAATAACGTGAGTTTCCTCTGTTGCTCTATAAGAAGATAAGCCATATAAATAAGAGGTCTGTACAAACCTGCCCTGTGTAATTGATGGTGAGACCAGTGGTGGAAACACTTCTCAGCTTTTTTGAGCACGTACAACATCCACAGTGGTAGCAAAACCTCATATGTTCTCATAAAATCTAGTGTATTTTCCTGTCTCAAGTTCTGTTTGTAATACTGGCCTCGGTGTATGTCTCAGTGCCACTCCTGCATTCAGTTCTTCCATGCTGCTCTCAGGCCCTGACCAGCTTCATCCCACTTCTCCCCAAAGAAATCCTCCTCCTGGACCTGCTGCAAAGAGGTCTTCCAAGAGGGAAGGGAGAGCAAAATAAGGCAGGACCACGGAGCACCATCAGTCTCGTGATGCCCTTCCTCCCAGCAGTGCTCCTATGTGATGTTGCATCATCTCTAAAAATAGAACTTAAGGTCTCTTGGGAAATGGCACTTGTCTTTTGTTCTGCGAAGCACCCCTCGTGCTCAGAGCCTCGCTTAGAGAAAGCTATGTACCAAGTAGAAGACTTGAGTGGGGTTTAAGATGGTTTATTCCCTTGTCCTCACAGATAGTCCTGTTTCTTAGCAGGATAATGGACTTCAGGTCACAGTGACATTGCCCATTGCTTTTCAAGGTCACAGTGACATTGCCCATTGCTTTTCAGAGCTAGAAGAAAAGGTGAAAGGCGATCACAGGAGGCTGAGTCACCATTAGGCTGCCTGAGGGGGGATTTGTACAGCAGGGGGGTGGTTTCTGTAGTCACAGGTACTTCTTGCCCTCCTGGTAGCTTAAGTAAGTAGAAAAAGCAATAGCATGAGGCATTAAATGCAGGGAAAACAGGCAGGATGGACTGACTGGAAATCTTGATGATAAGGAAAATCACACAGGTAGGAGGGGAAAGTACAGCTCAAAGGAGTATCTTTGCAGCCACAATTGAGACCAGCATCCAGGTTGCTTTGCTGGGTTAGATGGGGCTCTTCCAGTGCCTGTGATTCCCGAACTGACTTGTTAAGGCTCTTCAGGAATGAAGTCCTAAAAGGTTCTGTGAAGCTCTAGGTGACCTTGGATCATTCAGATCACTGAAGCAGAGGGAAAGCTTTACAGCCTATGGGAGCCCAGTCTACAAGGAGACCGTAGAAGACTTCATGGCCTGTGTTTTATATGGGAGTGTGTCTGCAGAATGAGCTTTGCTCAGAAGTTTCTCTTCAGTTGATAGCTCACGATTTAAGCGCTTTAATCCGGACAAATCCCACCTTGCAGTGTCTCCAGGATGCTCCCTAAACACAGGCCTGGGTGTTGGTGTCTCAGCCCACATGAGCAGCTCCGGGTGGGGCTGATGGACACCATTAATGGTGAATGCAGCCCTGAAGCGTTCACAAAGGTCCTTTTTGTGGCGTTTTGTTTGTGCTGTGAAGGAGAGGATGACAAATGGCAGCAGTGGGTTGTGAAATCCTTGGGGTTACTGGGAACTCCCCCTTCTCCTCTATTGAAATGAAGGAGACCACTTGCATCATTAGTCTATCTTATGTATGTATGATGATCTTTGAGGTGCTGCCTCACGTCCTTAGCTCATTGAAGGACACAAGCAACCCTTGACTGCAGTTGTTATCACTATATCCAAGCTATGTTTTTGGGATGCAGCAGAGCAGGGCTCCGTTCCCTCTGCAGAAACCACCTCTTTTGGGGCACGAAACTCCCCGATGGGAAGGCAGGGGGCGGCAGGGGCGTAGCAGATGGCTGTCAAACCTCGGTGAAACAGCGAGGGCAGGACTTGGGGGGCAGAAACCCCTCATGTTTGAGGAGGCCCAACAGAAGGCCGAGGCAGAGGGGGAGCACCACGGGAAGGTGTGTGTGTGTATGTGTTTGAATGTGTTTATATGTGTGTGTGTGTATGTGTTTGTATGTGTTTATATGTGTGTGTGTGTGGGGAGGGCGCTTGCACGCGTGCCCCGGGCTGAGGTGCCTGAGGGGGGGGGGGGGGCCGCGGCGGCCATTTTGAGTCGGACAATACCCGCCGCACAGGCACGGCGGGCCCCGCTGAGCGCCCGGCGGGGCGGGGCGGGGCGCGCGCACGCAGCCGTTGGGGCGCGCGCACGCTCCGCCTCCCGCCGGCCCGCGTTATGTAACGGCCGCGGGGAGCGCGCGCGCGCGCGCGCCACCACCGCCTCCGCTCTCCCCCTCCTCGCCCGCCCCCCCCTCCCCCCCTTTGTCCCCGCCCACCGCAGCGCGCGGGAGCCCAATGGGCGGCGGGGCCGCGCCTGGGGGGGGGTGGGGGGAGGGGGGTGGTTGGGGGGAAGGCAAGAGGGGGGCGGGGGAGAGCCCGTCGGGCGCGCGCACGCACCTCTCTCTCTCTCTCTCTCTCTCTCTCTCTCTCTCTCTCTCCTCCGTCGCGCTCGGTTGTTCCTTCCCCCCCTTTGTGAGGCGCTCGGAGTGGCCCGGACATCGCTGACTCGCCATGGCCGACGAGAAGCCCAAGGTGAGGCAGGCGCTCTCCCGCCGCCCTCCCTCGCTCCCGCCGCCCTCACTTCGCCCCTGAGGCGGCGGCGGCGGCGGGAGGAGGAGGAGGAGGAGGAGGAGGCCCGTGCCCGGCCCTGGCCCTGGCCCGGCCCTAGCCCCAGCCAAGCGGCCTCGGCTCCGGCGCGCCGGCTTTGCGCGCCATTTTCCTGCGCACCCAGGCCGCGGTCGCTTCCCGCCCCGTCGGGGGAGGGGGGCTGGGGCCGCAGCCTCCCGGGGCGGGCGGGGGATCCCCGGGGAGGGTGGCGGGGAAAGAAGAGGGGGGCTGAGGGGGGCGAATCCGGGCTCCCTTCCCGCCCTCCTCAGGGAGAGAGGCAGGGCCGGAGGCGGTTGCTGCCGCTGCCTTCCTCCTCCTCGCGCGGCCGGATCCGGCCTGCCCTGCGCGGTTGGCGGCGCAGCATCCCCGCTTGCAGCCAGCCTCTCGCCGGGGCACTTGCCAGCCCCTTCCCGTTCGGTCCTGCGGGAGGGGCGGGCGGAACATCGCTCCCTGCCCCCTTTTGTGCTGCCTCCGGGCCCGGCGGCCCTGGCCGCCCGGGGCGGGGGGGGGGGGCCCTGGCTGGAGTGGGGGAGCTTCGCTTTCCACATCAGTAATTAAACAACCACAGCGAAATAATAATAACTAAAACCCCCACCACAACCAGCCCCGCCGCCGTCTTCTCCCTCAGTTGGTATTTTTTCCCTCGTTTTCAACGGGGTTCGGAGGCATCTCTCACATGGCGGCGGCGGCGACCCGCACCCGGCCCGGGGCGTTTGTCCGAGAGGAAA